GCCCTATGTGAGAGAATTTGCAAATATCTTCTCCCATTCTAGATGTATTTTCACTTTCCTGTTTACTTTGAAGCACAAAAGCCACATAACAATACTGATATTGATGATCAAGTGTACTGGGAAACAGAGCTAAAGCTTCGTTTGGATATATCAATGGGGGGTGACTGGGCTGAGTAAGAACTGTATTTACCTTAGTATGAGTTAATTCCTCTGCCAAATATTTCTGCACAAGTTTATCGAAAGGTACAAACAGCAGAATATCACAGAGGGAAATGAGTAATCAATTACTACAAAAATATAAAAATGTATTAAGGCCTTTATAAGACAGATTAGTTATTTCTTTAAATCTATTCCTATCCCACACTGGATCCTTTTAATTGTAAACAACTTTGTACTGAGACTACTACTGTATCTGTTATTCAGAAATGCTAATTTGGGACCAGCACTGAAGCACAGCAGGTTAAGCCACTGCCTGTGACACCAGCATCCCATATGGGCAGCAGTTTGAGTCCTGGCTGCTCCGCGTTTCATCCAGCTCCTGGCTAATGTGCCTGGGAAAGCAGCAGAAGGTGGTCCACATGGCTGGGCCCCTGCACCCACATCGGAGAACTGCGTGGAATTCCCACCTCCTGGCTTTGGCCTGGCCGAGCCCTTGCCATTGTGAACCAGCAGATGGAAGACATCTCGCCCTTTCTCTAACTCTGCGTTTCAAATAAATAAATAAAATCTTTTCAAAATGTAGATGCATATATATATATACATATATAAGTACACACACACACACACACACATATATATATATAACATCTAATTATATACATATAATCGTTTTGTTAATAAGAAAGCCTAGGACAAGAGACAGAGGGGATCCTGGGCATGAGTGATTAACTCAGCAGGTCTTAGTTGTCTGAGCCTTATACATTTCAAAGAGAAGAATGAATCTTGCCAAACTCCTGGAAGCTAACTTGTAAGACCCTGGAATATCCTGTGTGATAAGACTGTCCTTGTCCACCCTTGACCATGAGCCATATCAGACAATGAATGCTGACGACGTGACTTATTGTGGTATGGGAGCTGTAGGCCACTCAGTATCAATTCTGAACTCTGGAAAGGCTAGAGAGAAAGAAACTAAGGTTAGCCACGTGGGTGTTCCATGCAGACACGATCAGTCTCCAACAGAAACCAAGGTCCATCCAACCTCCCCTCACTGGCGGCACTTTACATGTGCCATCTCACATCGTGGCTGGAGAATTGAGTGTTATCTGTAAAACTCCACTGGGAGGGTCTGGAAACCTGTGCCTAGTCTCTCCTGGACTCTGCCCTATGTATCTTTCACCTCTGCTGCTTTTAATCTGTATTCTTTCAGTGTAACTGTGCTTATGAGTAAAATGGATTTTTAGTTTTCTGAGTCTAGCAACAGGAGAGTGGTCTCGGGGACCCTGCTCATCCTCATAAACTGTTTTGGACTGTAAATTGTTACATTTCTTCTTAGAAGGTAATTTTAGAGTATCCTCCTACCAGAAATTCTAGGAATTTACTCCATCTGTCTATGAACTAGTAAACAACTCATACGAAAGTCCGTCAAAGACTGGATATACCTAAAATTCATTAACAAGAAACCAAGTTTATCTGTTTAATGGAAACTAATGTATCAGTTTATAAAAATAAGAGATTGGTATATATTGATACGAAAAGACTTTCAAGACAGATGGTTGTGTAGGGCAGTTACTTTATAGCTGGACTGGAAAGGCTCTGTTTTTATCTCTGGGCAAGTCTGGATGCCAAGCTTTGCCTCTGGCCAAGATAAGAACAGTCAGGTTAACAACGCAGGGTTTCCCAGCTCAAACTCTGGTGACCTCCCACAGCCAGTTTGCTGACTGAGGACTTTCCCTTGGCAGAAGCAGTCAGACCACCTGGCTTGGAGAGGACCTGCTGGGAACCTCTGCCTGGGGTTCTTTTGAAGCTAAGATTTATCACAAGGACCTAGGTGCTTCCGTCAGAGACAAGCTAGTCTCTGTGTGAATGAGGCTCCAGGGTGCTTTGCGCCAGGATGTCTTCTGCACCCAACAACTGCCAGAAGCTTCCTCCTCTTGCTGCCCCGTGTCCTTGGTCTTTAAAAATTGGCACATAGAATGCTCGGTGGGGTCTTGTGAGTCCTTTCAGTATCCACACTGGTGATCTCTTAGCAACAGTCAAGTAAAAAAGAGCAAGGTCCAGGCAACGCTGCGGCAAACAGGATTGTGGGAAAGAGGTTTTCTGATGTATTAGGAACCAAAGCAGAAAAAGCAACGAGGAATGACTGATTCCTCACAGGTGAGGATGCAGCAGATATCGCATTTGACTTGAGAGCCCAGCAGAGCTTGCAAATATTTCAAGGACACAGACTGTGAATAAAATGTAAAGGACAGCCCCAAATGAAGCTTCCACCCAGTATGACTTCATCTTGCACAGACGGTGCCCCCAGGAGATCTGTGATTTCCTTCTTGACTGCAGGGACCTGGGGAGCATTGTGCTTAGAAAGGCTGTATCTGTACCTGGACGTCCTGGCTACTACCAGGGTGGAGGCTGGGTTCAGGGCCAAATGTCCATTTAACATGTAAGAGACCTGAAAGACGCACCCTGGAATCTAATCACTCTTAAAACAATACTTTGATAAGGAAATATATTTGAAATTTCAAATGAAATACAACTACTCACATTTGAAAAGTCTCTGGAGTGGTGTGGGTCTTACCAAACAACCAAGGAGAACAGAAATGTTCTCTGTTCTGAACCACTGATGCTTACTCATATGACTGAGGGCAAAACCAAAGTTGGAAGTGAGGCTGGGAAGAGTAAGGACCACAGTGGTGCACTGAGGGTGTGCAGTGGGCTGTCCTGTGGGAGGGGAGGCTGGGAAGGGTAAGGACCATAGTGGTGCACTGAGGGTGTGCAGCGGGCTGTCCCGTGGGAGGGGAGGCTGGGAAGGGTAAGGACCACAGTGGTGCATTGAGGGTGTGCAGTGGGCTGTCCTGTGGGAGGGGAAGCTGGGAAGGGTAAGGACCACAGTGGTGCACTGAGGGTGTGCAGTGGGCTGTCCCGTGGGAGGGGAGGCTGGGAAGGGTAAGGACCACAGTGGTGCACTGAGGGTGTGCAGTGGGCTGTCCCGTGGGAGGGGAGGCTGGGAAGGGTAAGGACCACAGTGGTGCACTGAGGGTGTGCAGTGGGCTGTCCTGTGGGATGGGGAGAAAATACGCAATACAAGGAGCACTTGTGCTGTTGGGGGGGTGCTGAGATGCAGAGGGTCTCGCACCCCCCTTGGGTCTCTGCTCTCTTTCTCTCACTGTTGTGAAAGGAGAGAAACTGGCACAGATCACACGAGAAGCAGGAGGGATTTCCTTTCCTCCTTATTCACTCCCACTGTCACAGATGTATCTATCATGAGGGGCTGCGAGTCCCAAACAAGGTACAAATAAGGCTTCTACGAGATTCAGATTCCTTGGCACAGCAGCGTTTCCTCTGCTTGAGTTCTCATTCTCTCCCTAAAGGAGGGAGGACCAGCAAAGAGGGCTGGCGGCGATGGCACAAGGGCTAAGAGGAGAAAAATGAACAGCAATGCCCTGAACCACGGAAGTTAGATACACACTTAGCCACACCCAGCTGAAGCGATCTTTGTAAGGAAGTGATGCTTGTAAGCATTATTGTATGTAATAATTATTGCATGCCTGTAAGTACTATCAATCATGAATTCTTTCCTATATTTTAACTCTACTGATTTTGAATTATTAGGGGAAAGTAACATCAGTTTTCACAAACAAAAATTAGTTCTCTTTCTTTTCTTTCCTTTTCTATCATCTATCTATCAACCAATCATCTATCTACCCACTGACCTGAGAGTTCAGGTAGAAAACTCAGTTTTCAAGTACTTTTATATCACATCTAATTTAAGTAGGCACGATAGTAGGTACAGATGGTTATAATAAGTTTACACAATTTTAAATTGTATTCACCAGTGAATGCCTGTAGGAGAACTACTGGCAGTAACGTCTATGGACGTAATATAATCAACAAAAGGTAAAAGCAGTGGAGTGAGATGGGGACGATGAAGGGCTTTTATCAGGCCTGGGCATGGACCATGGAGATCAGGCTGTAAGGTTTATCTAGGAGAGTGAAAAATACCTTTGGGAATGCAGACATATGTAAACATAAACATGCATACTAAGATATGTTCTTTCAGTTCCCTTAAGAGCCTTTAAAGAAAAGATGTAGAAAGTAGGAAAGGAAAGAAAAAGAGACGAAGGGCATAAAGAGAGAGATTATAAAAGAAGAGCAGGAAGGGAGACAGTAAGAGGCACAAGACAACAAGGACACCCTGAAGGCACACGGAGCGAGGAAAAACGAGGAGAACGCACAGGAAGCAGCGAGGGCAGGCCCAGCGGACGGGCAGCCTAGCACAGCTTGTGAATTCACCCAGGGGTCTGTGCCTGGAACACAGCCACACTGTCGACAATTGTTCAGAACTAAAAATGCTGTAGGGGGCTAAGCACATAGCGTTTTTCCATAGAAACACTAACCAAGCTTTGTGATAATTCATCTTCATAATAGCCATAGACTGGTTGTTGACATTATAAACTACTAATTTACTCTAAATTCTCACCATTACACAGCTTTAGGCCTTTGCGTTTAAGCACAGTGAGCCGGTGAACGTTTGAAATATGGCTGATTTGCACTGAGAGATCTGTGAGTATAAGTGCACCCTGGATTCTGAAGGCTTTTACAAAACAAATGAACGTGAAATTTTTTGGATAAATTTGGGCTAAAGATATATTAAAACACTTAGTTTTATATTTTTCCTTCTACCTTTTTAAATGTAGTTATTAGAAAATTAAAAATTAACATATGTGGCTCACGTGATTTTCCCACTGGAATGCACTGTTCTAATACCATTAATTTCCCTCATTAAAACCAGAGTTGGCAAAGTAAGTTTGCTAACGTCTGAATTCCCAAAACCACTACAGACATACCGATATGCTGTACTTTTTCATCAATGACCTCACAGTGGTACGGCCATCTCGTTGGGCTCAGTGGGCCAGAGGAGGAGACACCATACAAATCTCGTGGCTTACGAAGGCGCGGCACCCATCGCCCCAGCTGATACTCCAACAGTATTTGTGTCGTCCGAGGGAAGAAAGGGTCCCCATTACAGTTGGCTGAAAAGAAGATCCAAACAGTCACGAATGCAGAGACGAAAGGCCCGGATTTCTGCAATTTTTATATGGTTTTCCTTTTCCTGTCAATATTTGTGGCTATCATTATAAATATCTAATAATTAATGGCACTTTTAATAAAGGTACTAATGAAATTTTGTGATAATTGATCTTCAAAATAGCTAAAAACCAGTTGTTGACCATATATCCTATTAATTTACACTAAATTCTCCCTGCTACTCTAAATATATCTGCTTCTTGAAGCTTCTCTAGCAATCACCCATTTTTGATTCACCTGATCACACTGTTTTGTAAGAAGGGAAATACGTTCACGGACTAATTCCACACCGCTTGCTGGAACTGTGTTCTCAAAGGTTGTTGGTGAACTCTCACAGCTTTCCCTCAGATTCCATCTCAGGGCCACTGAGTAACACAACCCCACAATAATTCACACAGAATATAACGGGGCTGCCACAACAAGGCCATGCCCTGGCCCCTTCTCTTTCAGTGTGATAATCTGAGTGGCGGGGTCAGCGCCATGGTGCAGTAGGTTAATCCTCTGCCTGCGGCGCCGGCATCCCATATGGGCATCGGTTCTAGTCCAGGATGCTCCTCTTCCAGTCCAGCTCTCTGCTGTGGCCTGGGAAGGCAGTGGAGGATGGCCCAAGTCCTTGGGCCCTACACCCGCATGGGAGACCAGGAGAGGCACCTGGCTCCTGGCTTCGTATCAGCACAGCTCCGGCTGTTGGGGCCATTTGGGGAGTGAACCATTGGATGGAAGACCTTTCTCTCTGTCTCTCCCTTTCACTGTCTGTAACTCTACAATAAAATCTTTAAAAAAAAATCTGGGTGGCATCAATTTCCTTTCTTTTCTGATGCTACACAAACTGTGAACCCACCTTTAACTCGGGACTTTCCGTGTAGTAATCCCTGTAAGGCTGCCGCTCACTGTAGCCGAGCAGCCCACTCCTCCGCTTGCTTCTGCAATCCCCCTACGAAAGGTTCTCCCTGCTGTCCCTCAGCTGCAGCCTCCAAGCCTCTTCTGGTTGAGCTGCTGAATTGTGAATTGCTAACTGCGCAAATAAACTCTTAAAATTCTATGTGCCAAAGCTCATCTTTCAACAATACCTTCAACTGGGCCAATCTTGAATATATTGTTCTTTGTCTTTTACTTTCTGACAAATGTCAATGTCACACCCCAGCTGTATGGTACAACATATACCTTGAACATATGCACTGTAATGTATTTAACAAGTCTCCTACTAATGATTTTTGGATTGTTTCCAACTTTTGATGAAATCAGAATTAGAACAGAAAGTTGCCTTATCAATTAACAAAATATCAATTTTTTTTTTTTTTTTTTGACAGGCAGAGTGGATAGTGAGAGAGAGAGACAGAGAGAAAGGTCTTCCTTTTGCTGTTGGTTCACCCTCCAATGGCGCACCGCGCTGATCCGATGGCAGGAGCCAGGTGCTTCTCCTGGTCTCCCATGGGGTACAGGGCCCAAGCACTTGGGCCATCCTCCACTGCACTCCCTGGCCACAGCAGAGAGCTGGCCTGGAAGAAGGGCAACCGGGACAGAATCCGGTGCCCCAACCGGGACCAGAACCCGGTGTGCTGGTGCCACAAGGCGGAGGATTAGCCTATTGAGCCACGGCGCCGGCCAACAAAATATCAAATTTAAAGCTCTTACAACATACAGTATGACAGTGATTCAATGAAATGGAATGGAGTCCAGGAATGGATTGATGGAATTTACTATATGATACACGTGACATGTTAAATGTCATATGATAAGGGTGATATTTCAAATCAGTGGGGAAAAAGGGCAAACTTTTTTTTTTTTTAGATTTATTTATTTGGATATTTTTGAATGATTTATTTGTTTATTTGAGATGGAGAGAGAGAACTCTCATCTGCTGGTTCACTCCCCAATTGGCTGCAATGGCTGGAGCTGTGCTGATCCAAAGCCAGGAGCCAGCAGCTTCTTCTGGGTCTGGGTCTGCCACGTGGTGCAGGGGCCCAAAAGACTTGGGCAATTTTCACTGCTTTCCCAGGCCACAGCAGGGAGCTGGATCAGAAGTGGAGCAGCCAGGTCCGTTGAAAGGGCAAACTTAATAAAGTAATGGACTACAAAATGGCACAGTAGCTAGCTATGTATTAAAAAATAAAATTAGGTGCATGTCTTAAACCATTCAAAAAACAACACAAAATTAATTAGTATCAATTAAATACCAAAATTCAAACAAACAAATATAAGTATTTAAAGAAAATTTAGATGATTATATGGATGACTTTGTGGGTAGGGAAGGCCTTTGTAACTTAAGACACAAAAATGAAGAGCCACAAATAAAAGCCAATGAACTAGGGGCCGGCACTGTGGTGCAGCACGTTAAAGCCCTGACCTGAAGCCCCAGCATCCCATATGGGCGGTTCGCGTCCTGGCTGTTCCACTTCCGATCCAGCTCTCTGCTATGGCCTGGGAAAGCAGAAGATGGCCCAAGTCCTTGGGCCCTATACCCACATGGGAGACCCCAAAGAAGCTCCTGGCTTCAGATCGGCACAGCTCCGGCCATTGTGGCCATCTGGGGATTGATCCAGCAGATGGAAGACCTCTCTTTCTCTCTCTCTGTAAGTCTTTCATATAAATAAAATAAATCTTTAAAAAAATTTAAAAAAGCCCGACAAACTGAACCACACAAAATAATCCTTAACAATGGAAGCAACATAAAGAGAATTAAAGGGCTCTGTCAGGAGGCAATGCATACCAAGAAGGCATACAAACAGACATAACGGTAAAAAATAATTCTGACTTTCTCCAGCACTCATGGAACTGCTACTTAAAAGAATGAGTTACTTCCCGTCTTCCAGCAGAATGGCATAATTTTTGAAAGGGCAGCAAAGGAAAAAACAAAAGAAAACAAGGGCCGAGGAGAAAGCATACAAAATTTCTCTAAGCACGGGTTTTGATAAATAAAGAAAAAGATCTACAAAGACGCATAATCTGAGAATCATGGTGCCCTCAAAACTGGAGATTTGTTTTCAGAAAGGCCTTACCTGTGATACATATGTAAGTATCAGTAGAAATACTTTTAATATCTGAAAGTATAAATCTAAGTCTATAAATTTTTTAAAATCAAGTGCACATCAAGATGCCCACATACATGTCTACTTAAAAATGAATGACTTTATAAAGGTAATTCTTTATAAGTATATTTCATTTAAATTAAGATGCATTTCCAGTACATTGTGTCGATTTATAGGGAGTCAAACTGTAAACACATTTAAAGAGGCAGTTATTCACAGAAAAATCAATAGCCTTTATAAACACAGACAATGTCACGGATGAGAAAGAACTTTTAAGATCAGTACCATTCATAATAGCTCCAAAAAGAATCAAATATCTTGGAATAAATTTAACCAAGGATGTCAAAGATCTCTACGATGAAAATTACAAAGCACTAAAGAAATAGAAGAAGATATTAAAAAATGGAAGAAACTTCCATGTTCATGGATTGGAAGAATCAACATCATCAAAATGTCCATACTACCAAAAGCAACTTACAGATTCAATGTGATCCCAATCAAAATACCAATGACATTCTTCACAGACCTAGAGAAAACTATGCTCACATTCATATGGAAATATAAGGGACATAGAATAGCTAAAACAGTCTTGCACAACAAACAAAAATTTGGAGACATCACAACAGCTAATTTGAAGACATACTACAGGGCAGTAATAATCAAAGCAGCCTGGTACTGGCACAAAAAAAGACTTAAAGATCAATAGAACAGAATAGAAACTCCAGAAATCAATCCATGCATCTACAGCCAGGAGCTAAAATCAATCTATGGAGCAGGGACAGTCTCTAACAAATGTTGCTGAAAAAACTGGATCGCCATGCGCCAAAGTATGAAAGTAGACCGCTACCTTTCACCCTACATAAAAATCCACTCAAAATGGATCAAGGACCTAAATCTATGACCAGATACCATCAGATTATTAGAAAACATGGGGGAAAGTCTACAAGACACTGGCGTAGGCAAAGAATTCTTGGAGAAGTTCCCAGAAGCACAGGCAATCAAAGCTAAACATGACAAATGGGATCACATCAAGCTGAGAAGCTTCTGCACTGCAAAGGAAGCACTCAGCAAAGTGAAGAGGCAACCAACAGAAGGGAAGAAAATATTTGCAAATTGTGCAACTGATAAAGGGTTAACACCCAGAATATATAAAGAGCTCAAGAAATTCAACAACAACAATCCAGTGAAGGACTTAAACAGGCATTTGTCAAGAGAGGAAGTTCAAATGGCCAAGAGACTTGCGAAAATGCTCAGGATTCACTAGCCATCAGGGAAATGCAAATCACAACCACATGGGATTTTACAATGAGGCTTACATATAGAAATCAACACACAACAAATGCTGGCAAGGATATGGGGAAAAGGTACCCTGATCCACTGCTGGTGGGAATGTAAACTGGCGCAACCATCGTGGAAGACAGTATGTAGACAGCTCAGAAATCTGATAGACTTACCAAATGACCCAGCAACCCCACTCCTGGGAATTTACCCAAACCGAAAGAAGTCAGTATATCAAAGAGTTATCTGTACCCCCATGTTCACTGCAGCACAATTCACAATGGCTAAGATATGGAATCAACCCAGATGTTCATCAGCTATTAACTGGATAAAGAAATTATGGTACATAAACATTATAGAGTTCTAGTCAGCTGCTAAAAAAATTAAATCCTGTCTTTTGCAATAAGATGGTCACAACTGGAAACCATTATACTTAGTGAAATAAGCCAATCCCAAAAAGACAAATACCGTGTTTTCCCTGATCTGATGCAATAGGACACCTGAAGTGTAATGCGCTGGCGTGAGACCTTCTTGAGAATGGACGATTGTTTATAGCCTGTGGGGAGCAACTGGGAGCAACTCGGACTAGACTAAGTTACTGGAATTAAGACTTATTCTATGCATCTGCTCTCCCACAATATGGCGCTGGGAGAGGAGGAAACAGCTTCTACACAGCTGCCTCCAGTTCAACCAATAAGCAGCAGGACCTGCTCCTGATTGGAGGAGAGCAGCGTATTTGGCATGTGGGTAGCAGAGTTGGGATTGGTGGAAGAGGACTATAAAGGAGGAGAGAGACAACATGCACCAGGAACATCTATCCGAATAACACCTGAGCAGCCCCCGAGAGAGCCGGCCGGCGGTGTGCCACTCCCCCGTGGAAGTGGGGAAAGTGGCTAGGGGGAACCGCCCTTCCACGGAGGTGGAACGGTCGGTAGCCAACGTGGGAAGAACCAGCAGCAAACCCGGGGAGGGCCGAGCAGACAAAAGAACAGCGCAGGGTCCTGTGTCGTTCCTCCACGAAGAGGGGGAGCGACATAATGGTGCCGTGACTCGGATATGAAGCCTAGGCAGGGTTTAGTGTCGTTCCTCCGCGAAGACGGGGAGCAACATAATGGTGCCGTGACTCGGATAGGAAACCTATGAGGGAAGAAGCGGGAAGAAGTGGGAAAATACCAGAGAGAGAGACTAGCAAAGAGCCTAGGGAAAAGCCGGACGGAAAAGGTGCTGGAAGAAGCTATCGAAAGCCTAGGCATAGACTCAGATACGGACTATCGTGGGGAAGCTGGGAGGAATCTCTAAGGTCGAAAGTGAAACCTAGAAGAAACTTAGACTCGGATACGGACTGTGGGGAGAAGCCAGGAGAAATGAGAGGGGAATATTGTTGGAAGAAAAGTTAGGAAACATACCGGGTAGAAAAATATGTTAGGTAGGATGTAGCCGCGGGGGCAGGCCAAGGCGGAGACGTAAGCTATGTTGGGATTCGTCGAGTCAGCCCGGGGAACAAGGGGCAAAAATCTGGAACCAGAGGTGGAGACGTGGGCCAGGTTGGAATCCGTCAGATTAGCCCGGGGAGCAAAAGACGGGAAGCCAAACCGTAAGGCGGAAATGTAGGCTAGGTTGAATTCGCCAGGTTAGCCCGGGGAACTTAGACTGAATACCGGTAGCGGAAACGTGAGCTAGGCTGTGTGACTCGCGGAAGCCGCCGCGTGCAGAGAGAGCGCGCGGGGCACGAACGGGGAGAGTGCATGGGGCACGAATAGAAGCCGGTAAGCCGCGCAGAGCCGGGAAGCCGCCGCAGGGCGGGCGCCGGGAAGCTGCGCAGAGCCGGGAAGCCGCCGCGGGGGAGGCGCCGAGAAGCAGCCTCGGGGCGGGCGCCGGGAAGCCGCGGGGATAAGAGAAACAGAAGTTTAGAAGTAAAATGAGAGAAATAGGAATGCTGGCAGATAGAAGTAAAATAGGAGAGATAGGAATGCCCAGAGGTAGAGAAATAAAGAAAAATAAGGCCTCCCCACAACACGGCAATGAGAGAGCTTGGATTCGGTCTGCCTGATTAGGGAGGTGGTGAGCACCTGCGGGCGGCTAGCAGCTTATGCGCCGCAGGTCACTGAAGACAGGCACGAATTAACACCAATAAGTCTCCCCGCAAGACGGCAATGAGAAGGCTTGGATTCGGTTTGCCTGATTGGTAGGGCTTGTAAGCACCTGCAGGCAGTTCTAGCAGAGCAGAGCATGTGCTGCAGGGCACCGAACACAGGCATGCATCAGCGCCTAAAAACCTCCTCACAACATGGCAAAGAGAGGACCCGGATTCGGTTTGCCTGATTGGTAGGGCTTGTAAGCACCTGTGGGCAACTCCAGCAAGCAGAGCAGAATGTGTGCCACGGGGCACCGAAGACAGGTGTGTATCAACGCCAAAAATAAAAAGAAAGGGGGATCTGTGGGGAGCAACTGGGAGCAACTCGGACTAGACTAAGTTACTGGAATTAAGACTTATTCTATGCATCTGCTCTCCCACAATATGGCACTGGGAGAGGAGGAAACAGCTTCCACACAGCTGCCTCCAGTTCAACCAATAAGCAGCAGGACCTGCTCCTGATTGGAGGAGAGCAGCGTATTTGGTGTGTGGGTAGCAGAGCTGGGATTGGTGGAAGAGGACTATAAAGGAGGAGAGAGACAACATGCACTGTGGGGAGCAATCCGGACTGGACTGAGTTACTGGAATTAAGACTTGTTCTGTGCATCTGCTCTCCCACAATATGGCGCTGGGAGAGAAGTAAACAGCTTTTGCACAGCTGCCTCCAGTTCAACCGATGAACTGTAGGACTTGCTCCTGATTGGAGGGCAGCGTGCTCGGCGTGTGGGCAGCCGGGTTGGGATTGGCGGAGGAGGACTATAAAGGAGGAGGGAGACGGCTTGCACCAGGAACATCTATGGGGAACATCTATGGGGAACATCTAAGGGAACCCGTGCAGCCCCCGAGAGAACCGGCCGGCGGTGTGCCGCTCCCCTGCGGAAGTGGGGAATGTGGCCAGGGGGAACTGCCCTTCCACGGAGGTGGAAGGGATAGTAGCCAACCCGGGAAGAACCAGCAGCAAACCTGGGGAGGGCCGAGCAGACGAAAAGAACAGCGCAGGGTCCTGTGTCGTTCCTCCACGAAGAGGGGGAGCGACATAGTGGTGCCGTGACTCGGATAGGAAACCTAGGACGGATAGCAAACTTAGGAGGGAAGAAACGGGAAGAACTGGGAAAATATCGGAGAGAGAGACTAGCAAACAGCCTAGGGAAAATATCGGAGAGAGAGACTAGCAAACAGCCTAGGGAAAAGCCGGACGAAAAAGGTGCCGGAAGAAGCTATTGAAAGCCTAGGCATAGACTCAGATACGGACTACGGGGGGAAGCTGGGAGAAATCTCTAAGGTCGAAAGCGAAAGTGAAAGCTAGAACAAACAGACTCGGATGCGGACTGTGGGGAGAGGCCAGGAGAAATGAGGGAGGAGTATTGTTGGAAGAAAGCTTGGGGAAACATACCGGGTAGAGAAAAATGTTAGGGAAATTGAAGCCGCGGGGGGCAGGCCGAGGCGGATATGAAAGCCACTTTGGGATTCTCAAGTTAGCCCGGGAATAGGGGGCGAAAAGTTGAAACCAGAAGCTGAAACGTAAGCCAGATTGGGATCCGTCTGATTAGCCCGGGGAGCAAAGGACGGGAAGCCAGATCGTGGGGCGGAAACGTGAGCTGGGTTGAATTCGCCAGGCTAGCCCGGGGAACTTAGATTGAATGCTAGTGGCGGACACGTAAGCTACGCTGTGTGACTCGCGGAGGCTGCCGCGTGCAGACAGAGCGTGCGGGGCTCAAGTACATAGGGAACGCGGGGCTGGCGCGAGGCCGTGGTGCAGACGCGAAGGGCGTGGAGACCGCGGAGCGCGCGAAGCCAAGCCGCGCAAAGCCGAGCTGCGCAGATGAGAGAGGCGCGGGCTGAAGCGGCTCAGCCGGGAAGCCGCCGAGAAGTAGCCTCGGGGCGGGCGGCGGGCAGCGGGAAGCTGCGGGGATAAGAGAAACAGAAGTTTAGAAGTAAGATGAGAGAAATAGGAATGCTGGAAGATGGAAGTAAAATGGGAGAAGTAGGAATGCCCGGAGATAGAGAAATAGAGAAATAGAAAGGCCTCCCCTCAACATGGCAATTAGAAGGCTTGGATTCGGTCTGCCTGATTAAGGCGGTAAGCGCCAGCAAGCGGCTCGACCAGAGTGTGAGCCGCAGGTCACCGAACACAGGCACGCATCAGCGCCTAAAAACCTCCTCACAACATGGCGAAGAGAGGACCCGGATTCGGTTTTCCTGATTGATAGGACTTGTAAGAACCTGTGGCAACTCTAGCAAGCAGAGCAGAGTGTGTGCCACGGGGCACCGAAGACAGGCGCGTATCAACACCAAAAATAAAAAGAAAGGGGGATCTGTGGGGAGCAATCCGGACTGGACTAAGTTACTGGAATTAAGACTTGTTCTGTGCATCTGCTCTCCCACAATATGGCGCTGGGAGAGGAGGAAACAGCTTCCACACAGCTGCCTCCAGTTCAACCAATAAGCAGCAGGACCTGCTCCTGATTGGAGGAGAGCAGCGTATTTGGTGTGTGGGTAGCAGAGCTGGGATTGGTGGAAGAGGACTATAAAGGAGGAGAGAGACAACATGCACCAGGAACATCTATCCGAATAACACCTGAGCAGCCCCCGAGAGAGCTGGCCGGTGGTGTGCCGCTCCCCCGTGGAAGTGGGGAAAGTGGCTAGGGGGAACCGCCCTTCCACGGAGGTGGAAGGGTCGGTAGCCAACCCGGGGAAGAACCAGCAGCAAACCCGGGGAGGGCCGAGCAGACAAAAGAACAGCGCAGGGTCCTGTGTCGTTCCTCCACGAAGAGGGGGAGCGACAATAGCCCTTGTCCCTTCTACTAAGGAACACTCTTTCATTCAGTTTTGCTTTAGTTTGTTGAGTTTTCTTTCTCTTCTTCTTTCTTTATGTAGAGTAGGGTTAACTATATGATCACTAAGTATGCTGATAATAGATCACTGTAAATTAGGAATGGGAATCTGAGGTGGGGGGAGGAGTTGGAATATGGGCAGAAGGGAGAGGAAATCCCACTATATTCCTAAATCTATATGAAATATATAAAACTTGTATAACTTAGATAAATTTTTGTTTAAAACCAAAAAAAATCACTATATATTCTCACTTATTTTCTAATATAAATCAGGTTTACCTAAAACCTGCAAAGTCTGAACCCCTGAAGGATTCTAATAAAAGTGGATACAACATTTGCTCTTCCTACCCACCAGAATAATTATTCTTTTATTACTCAACTTGACAATCTTTTTCAGTTTCCTTACATTTTAATCCACTTAAGATCTTACGATAAAAACGAAGGAAAATACATGGATAGGTTCAAACCTGCTAAAAGAGCACACTGATGAATATCTTCATTTAGAAATTTCATGAAAGGATCTTCATCCTAAAACAAAAGAATTTTCAAATATTTCTTTTAAAAATCAAATTTCCAAATCCTTCCTAAATTTCTTATACTTATCATACTACTTGGGACTGGGTATATGGCTTTAACCTTTAATAAATGAGAAAACTACAGGATTATTATGGGCTACTGATCAAAGTATCCCAACATCTGAACTATCCTGAGACCGACGTCAAGTCCTCATCTTTCATCCCTCCTCTCCACCTGGAAATGGTCATGATGGTGACTGCAGGGAGGCAATAGAGTGAAGATTCTTGACACACTTGCGAAAACAATTGACATTAGAAAAAAAAAACAAAGTCATCAACTTAAAGGGTTACATATCATTTGGGAGGGCTTAGTTAGGAACCTTAATTTACATACATGATCATTTTTATTTTAACAATGATGTACTACTATCAGACAAAATATTTTTAAATAATACATTCCCCCTCCTTTCTTCTTCTACATCACTCCTTTGTGACATCAGAGCCACATTAACAGCATCGTGAACAAGGTAGTTTTCAAACAGGTCCTACTATGATACATACTGTGGTGTAACACAATAGAACTAGAACACATAAGAAAATAAGTGGACATGAAATAAAATAAACAACCTTAATAACAACTTAAGTCACATTTTTTTAAAAATCCAGGAGAATCTTGCCCAAAATATTTTCTCAAGAAAACAGTCATGGATGCTGGTTCAAGTTCTGGCTGCTCCACTTCTGATCCAGCTCTGCTATGGTCTGGGAAAGCAGCAAAAGATGGCGCAAGTCCTTGTCCCCTGCACCCAAGTGGGAGACCCGGACTAAGATCCTGGCTCCTGGCTTAAGATAGTCCCAGCTCTGGCTGTTGAGGCCAATTGGGAAGTGAACCAGCAGATGGAAGATCAATCGATATCGATCTCTCTCTCTCTCTCTGCCTCTGTCTCGCTGTAAATCTTTCAAATAAATAAATAAATAAATCTTTAAAAACAAAGCAAAAGAAACTCAGTCATTTAGTTTATCTTTCCTATAGTACATTAAGTACATAGTACTAAGAGCTTAGCTTTTTCAAATTATTTCCAAACTTCAATGACAATGATTTAAACATCAAACTGATTTTAATTGGGAATTTATATCACACAAATAACTATACAGTAAATAAATAATTTATAACACAAAAAATTATTTATCTTAAAATAAGTGAAACATTGAAGGAGACATACTGATTCGTCTTCATCGCTGTTTGTTCTGTCCGAGTAGTCTTTTTCTGAACCTTCTGACATCTCTTTCCGTGTTTGCCTTGAAATTCCTATTATGTGGGTAGGCTGTAAAACAGTGTCTAAGCAACTTGTTTGACAACGTTTAAGCTGCCGGTGTTGGTCATGAGAACTCAAGTAGATATTCAATCGCATTTAATCAACACTGACAGCCACCTGCCTTAAAAATTAAACACCGTGCAGCTAATCAAGCCCTACACCTCCTAGAAGAAAGCTTCCATTACTGGAAAGAGACAACCATCACGAGGCTGACCAAGCCAACAATTTAATTGCAAAAGTTCCCAGAGCACACAGCGGATCATTGACATTCTGTGTTTACCATGCAATACTGCACCGAGATAGCGAATTCACTACGGACCAAAGAGAAATCGCTCAGGCACTAACGCAGCGCTAAGATTCTGGGCTCCTCAACTGTCAGCTGCCCCAGAATTCCTGTCTACAGCCTGTCACAGGCTGCTCCAGCAGTCAACTTACGGTGTGTAATTCGTACCGAACGCAACAGCTGCCCCGCAGGGCGGATTGGGCGAGGACCGGCACGCCCCCACGCAGGTGTCTTCCACCCGGCTGCCTCCAAGACAATGCAGCCACCCGAATTCCGTGTCAAGGTTCTAGATTCCCGAGGATCGAAGGCACGCACCCACCCAACCCCACTCGTTTACGCCCCTCCCCACAAAAGCCGTGTTTTAGAGCGTGGTCTACACCGACCACAAGATTCCAAGCCCCGGCGGGCGCCCAGAGCTACAAACGCATCATCGGGGAGGGGAAACACGGCCTCACGGGCGGGACCCTGAGTGTGACCCGACTCCAGTCTCCGTCTGGGGACCCCAACTCGTCGGCAGCACTGCACTGGCACATGTCTACACCCGCGGCACCTCCAGGCGCCGACTCGGACACGCCAGCGGGCGCCCCGCCGGGGTCTGGGGCGTCGGAAGCCCAAGAGGCAACAGCAGGCGCTGGTGGGAGGCACGGAGAAGTCGAGGGGCTCGGCCGCGTTCGCCGCACCCTCGCTGGTGCCGCCGCGCACCCCGGAAGCCGCGGCAGCGCCTGCGAGCGCCCCTTCCTCTCCCGGACGCGTCACCTGCCGGCCGCGGCCGCCCCCCACTGCCGCCCCCAGTCCTCCAGCCAAGTTCTTCTTTCCGTGCGAGGAAGCGTGGGTGCCCACGAGCTCGTCAGTGTCCAGCCACAAGAAGAAAGGCCACTCCAGCAAGCGTGGTAGCCCCGACCCTGTCCTTGTTACCAGGCCGCTCGTTTCCAGGGCAACGGGCCTATCCTCGCGAGACTTTGGGCAGTCTCACGCGCCCGGCGCAGCGGCACTGAGCCTGCGCGCAGCCCTGGCCCGAGGAAGGGGAAACCCCGGGGGATGACGGGAACTAGGGGCAGAGCGGCTGAGCCAGCGCAGAGGGTTTGGCCGGGGGTTGGGGAGCTGGGGTCCGGCGGGAAGGTTTAGGAGTGGGGAGGCGAGCAGCGGGTTTTCCCCGGGCCCTTTCTCAGAGGCGGCAGTGGAGCATACTGGGTAAGACCTGTGCTTTGCAGACCACCTGGCGTTAACAGCGTGCCCTTGGCCAACTTCACTTTTTTTGTCCCGTTTGTATTAGATGTTATTTCTGTACATCACATCCTGATTCCCCCCATCTATAAGTTTGGTGTTCAATTTGGTATATTTGGAACAGTTTTCCAGGTGTAGCAGGAAAAAAACTGTGTACCTATAATATATAAATATATAATATAAATATATGCCCACACGAGGCATATGTGCCATCTGATTTGTGATGTTGTAGAGACAGTATATCAAGTTTGAAAGTAGAATACGGGGCAACGCACTATGACTTAAGCACCGAAATGGGTTAATATCGAGATTTTATCAAGTTTTGAAAATACCAGGTTTTGTTGAAATAGCAGTTTGGAAACTTGGACCTTCCAGTCAGACCTTGACTTGAGAAAATAGAGCATACGTTGGACCAGCGTCTCTTGAAGAACAGTACTTAGAATTGATAGCTGTAGCTTGCTTCATGCCATACATACACACTAAAGGTGACACGCAGAGAATCTCAATATATAGGACCTATTTTTCGGTTGCATTTTCATCGTGGTTGCACACCATAGGATGTCTGTCAGATGCTCGAAGTGAAGCCTGAGAAAGGAACTGACCAGAGATGTCAGAGCTGGGACCAAGTCTCGTGAATTTACTCCAAATACTTACATATGTCAAGTAATATCCCTTGATCATGTGTCGAGTAATCCTTACAGAGAAAAGTTATCTTAGTGCACCACAGAAATATTTAGAATTTCAACCAAATGTTGAAAGTCATATTCATTCATTATTTCAGTAATTTGGCAAATATTTATTGAGTGCCTACCACTTGTCAAAGACTCTTCTCGGTGTAAGGTATACATATATATATGTATGTGTGTGTGTGTGTGTGTGTGTGTATTGCAGGGAACAAAGTAGGCATTTTTAATGGAGGTTATGTTCTAGAAGGAAAAAACAGACAAACCAATAATAAAAGTCACTCAGATGATAACTGCTGTGGAGATGAGTAGAGCAGGAACAATGAAGGGCATTGAGTATTGGGGGCAGATGGGTCTTGGTAGGGCTGCTCTTTCAGATGGGGTGGCCAGGGAAGGCATTTGAGCCAAGGGATAAACCAAACCATAAGGACACAGCTAAGGGCAGACCGCCAGGCAGGAGGCACGGTGAATACAAACACCCTGAGAGAAGTTTTAGGAATTATCCCAGGCAGTACTGTTTGGTCAAAGCTTAGCTGGAATTAGTATGGATTTACAGAAAGAGATGTCATAAGGACTTCTTTCTTTTCCAAGATAATTTTAAAATGATTTTCTTAAGCACCTGCTTCTTTTTAACTCTTGGTTAATCTTACTTACTCTCCTATTGCAGACACTTGTATGTACTCGAAATGAAATTCCTTGCCTTTAAGTTAAAGTGGCAGGAAGTCTTGGAGTAAGCTTCCCCGTAGGGCTGTCAGTCTGCATTCCTGTTCCCCTTCCCTGTGGTCTTCCTTGAGAAGATCATGGGACAGGTTCCCCCCACAGCTGGCTTCCATCTTTCGGGAAGGCAGCTTTATGACTGCAGCAACTTTTCCCTGCACTTTTTTGGGGTACACTTACTGTAAGACTGTAGTATAAAAGGCCATCTAATGAAAGTAGATCACTAAGAGAGAAAAAGACAATAAAAACTGTACCCCAGTCAGTTCCTTATAACACCCAAGAAGTTAATGGCCAGGGAAGTCTTCTCACAGTGTGACTGAGATGGCCATACTGGGCCCGAGAGCCCATGATAGCCTAGTGACTTGACCTTGCCCATACTAGTGTGGGATGACCCTATGTAGGACTAAACCTCTTAAACTGGTCCCAAGTTCAACTCTCAAGATCTGTTACAGCCAGTCAGCTCACCACGACTCAGTTCATGGGTCACTACCATAATGACACCTTCCTAATCCCTCTATCAGTAAAATTAATTGTATGTATCTGGAGACTGTGTGGAAGCAATAGTTCCATTTACTTGGAAATGACATGGCAAAGATGTCCCTGCTTGGGTAACAAATAACAGGATAAATCACCTCCACAAAAGAGAATGAATGTGTGGAAGTTGAGTTCCTGGCTCTTGACTTTTTCCTGGCTCAACTCTGGCTGTTCGGGGCACTTCAGCATGAGAAATCTCTCTCTCTCCCTATCTCTCGCCTTTATAATAAATAAAAATAAATAAACTGGCCGAAACAGACAATGCACTCAAATCAAGACCTTGCTGGGGTTATCTCCTATGGAAGAACCACATTTAGGCATGTGAGATCATTTTCCTTGTTCCTTCTTCCACTTGGAGCAGACATGCACAAGGTGAGTAGGAAAAAATCTGCACAACAGACTCATTCCTCATCACACGGAAGACTATAGTATTGTTTCCAAGTTCATATCTTGAATATGTGTATTATAAAATTAATTTTCATTTAATCTTATCAGTGTGGTCCTAACACTATTGACTGTATTTTTATTGTTTCATTTTATACATTTATTTTGATGACAACTATCTTATTGTCTAGACTTATTACACCTATTATTAGTATGTAGCAGTAAAATACTTTTTTTAAATAGTATTTTAGTCAATTCTGTCAATCTTATGTGAAGGACTTAGGAAAGTATTCAAAAGCTCTGAACCCACAAATTAAAACCTTTATGAGAACCTCAGCCTTCAGACCAATAAGTACCATATAAATATGCAAAATTTCTATGAAAAAATATTTTTCGATTCAAATGTAATCACCACTGTCCCCAGGTAGTAAACGTTCTACAAACAAATGGCATGTATTAAATGAATGTCTGTGTTACAAAAGACAGTCTTCAGGCACATAGCACTGCCTTTCCTAGGAGCAAGAGGGGTGGAATGAACCCACAATGGGGGGGCCAGCACTGTGGCGCAGTGGGTTAATGCCCTGGCCTGAAGTGCTGGCATCCCATATGAGTGCCGGTTTGAGATCCAGCTGCTCTACTTCCGATCCAGCTCTCTGCTGTGGCCTGGGAAAGCAGTAGAAGATGGCTCAACTTGGGCCCCTGCACCCACGTGGGAGACCTGGAAGAAGCTCCTGGCTGCTGGCTTCAGATCAGCCCAGTTCTGGCTGTTGCGGCCAATTGGGGAGTGAACCGTCAGATGGAAGAACCGTCGGATGGAAGACCTCTCTCTCTCTCTCTGCCTCTCTTCTCTCTGTATGTAACTCTGACTTTCAAATAAATAAATAACTCTTTAAAAAAAAAAAAAAAGAAACTACAGTGGGAATGACAGGGAATATGAAGGAACATTCAATTTTTTTTTTAAAAGAAGAATTTTTAAATCCTTTTTTCCTCAACTTTATCCATACATGTTTGGTCAGTAGTCCAGATCAGAGAAATTTTCAATATTTTGTCAGAAAATTACAAGAAGAGCATTAAAATATAAACATGCTTTTCTTTTTCAAGAGTAAAACCAAGACTCAATCTGAAATGCAGGTTTTGTCATGCCATCATCTTTATTAAAATAGACACACATCTGGCAATATAGCACACGGAAATAAGCGAGGCAAAGATATTTGGAGGAATTCCATTTATTGTAGATGCATTTTCACAATATACTTTTATTGCAGCGATCAATTATCAGTGAAAAATACCAAGTGTTCATAAAGTTTTTATGAATGGCAGATTCACAGAACATGCTAGTCAGCTTGCAGTTTTACTTCTTAAAGATAACAGAGAATTCTAATTGAACAAGTAAACAATGAGTTTGTTTTTCAAACAAATTAAATCCAAACAGAACAAAATTCTACCCTAAAATTTATTCCATCCAAATACCGGAATAAAAGTCTGGATTGATACATTCTCTTCTCAACTTTACACTTTCTAGAAAAATATATAATAGCAATCAGGAAAAGCTCTTGTTCAAAAGTTCAACACAGCAACGTTACCTCAAACTTGGCTGCATCTCACTCCAATGATGGTAGTTAAGGCTAAATAGGGAGTTTCAGGTTAAGTTCTAGTTTATCTGAACATAGACGTGTGTCTACTCTGTCACGGGTGAACGACTTGTGCGATCTTGGTGGCCCATGTCTGCCAAAAGCTAGGATTCAACTACCTGTAAGCGGGGATCCCTCCTCATGCCCGCCTCCCCGGGTGAGCTCTACTGGAGGAGTTTCGTTGATGAGAAAATTGTCCCTTGGGAGGCCCTCTTATTGTGGTAGGGACAGAGACTGAAACAATTTTGGTTAAGTCAGCTGAGGTATGAGTTTATAGAACTATACTACTTGTAGACGTCTATAGAGAACATTTGGCCAAGACGCTGGAGCAATTTTCCATCATCTATTATGAAGAATAAAAACTTATAGGCTAAAATAAGACCTGATATCTGGATTGTGTGTGTAAAAGCAGTGAATCAATAAAGACTCACTAGTAAACTAATATGTAACTAGTAAAAGTTAAATATACTTTTGAAATTTTGTCAAATTATCAACATATGACAAGTACCACTGACTAATAAAGGTAGAAAAGATTAATTTTAAGAACATTTCAGAGTATATAAAAATGGAAATGTTGTCCTGCCTCCTAAATACTGGATTGTGTTCATTTTAGTTCTTTACTTCCAGACATTAGCAAACACTGGTCTTTGCTTAGACCCATGCGTGGAATTCCATGTGTAATACAGTCACTAAAACTCTTTAAATTTTTCTGAAGGAAAGGACCTTAGATATCACGTCCACCAATTTTTATGAACTTTGTGATGAATAACCAGGTTGTGAGTTTGATTCAGATAGTAGATTTAGTAAAATTCACACTGGACTTCAAGCCTGCTTTTAATTATAAACTAAATACTATGTCTTATAGAAGATTTCAACTTGTTTTGACACTTCTAGTCTCTCTTTTCTTCAATACTTTTTTTTTTCTTACAGGTCACTGGGCATTGAAAACATATCGATACCTATCTGCCATGTTTCTATTGGCAAATATGAAATATTAATATAATACTGTGATTTTTAATTTTTTAAAAAGCTGTGATATTGGCTAGTTACAAGGACATACTACTAAATATAATTGTCTAGCACATAAAAAAGCATTCTATCATTAGTGTGTTTATATATGTATATGCACATACATACATCATCGAGTAATCTAAGATGTGGTTCAGGCTACTGTTACTACTAAAGAAATCCACAAACCAATCTAAAAAAAATCAGTACCACTGTCAGCTAACAGAATAATCCAATTTAGATATGCATCAGCATGAAATAAAGTAATACCTTAACAGTACATCTTTTTTTTTTTAAAGACAATCATTGCAGTATATAAAATCTGAAATGGGTTACTTTCAGAAAGAGTTACAATTGCCTACTACGATCATTTCTCCCATGCTTTATTCTAAAGTGCAGAAACAACATGACTTCTGTATTTAAAAGGACAACCATGGTTCATTTTTCTAGATACTGCACACATTCCTCAGGCAATTTTCAACTTGGATCTCTTTGTGCTGATTTCCAATGTGGTTGGAATCACTGTTCAGACAGAATCAGGGTGATCAGTAGAAAAGTCTCTTTCACAGCATGGGTTTCTTTAGAAACAGGCTCCTGTGCAAGGGCAGTACTTTCACCATGAACATCTCTAGACTGTGATTATTAAATATAGTGATCATATACATGGGTTTACTGGGATATTGTAAAATAAAACAAAGGAAGATGAACCCAATTTAGTAAATCACCATAAATATAAGACAGAGCAAATTAGCCCTCTACAGTTGAGCTGGTCCAGGGTCTTGAGTTTGGGTTCTTTCTTGAACTGCCTCAGACCTGCTGAGAGAAAAGAACTTTAAATCCACAGCCTGCAGTGTTTCAGCCAGAAACATTGGTTTTTGTCGGAAGGAAAACAGGGGCAGATTCCAGTTATGGCAGCCATAGATGGTTACGAAATGCGGGAGCACTACTGGCATGCTCCTCAAATATGATCTTTTATTCTACATTTCTCCTGTCGAGTTTCTAGCTTACTTCTTTGTTTCTCCTTTCTGGTCCCTCTTCCTAACTTGACCATCACAATCTTTTTTTTAAGCTCCATGGTAAGGACCAGCAGTGTAGTGTGCATTCCAAAATAGGCACACATGACCTAACTAGCCCAGTCAAGGCCATGTCCACGTATCATGGTGAATTAGGATATGCTTATCTTTCACCTTCTCCCACTTCAATCTAACAAACTCTACTTCCTCCCTCCTATTCTTTCTTAAACATTTTATTTAAACTATATAAGTTTCATGTATTTTATACACGCAGACTTAGGAACATAGTGATTTTTCTCACCCTACCCTCCCTCCTGCCCATGTTCCAACCCTTCCTCCTCCCTCCTGTTCTTACACCCCTATTCCCGGACTTCCCTGGTCCACACTCCTAGTCTGATGACTTCCCCCACCATGTCAGCTATTAAACATCCTTGCTGGGGTAGTAACAACTACTAACATGTTATGCATTTCCATTTTCAAACGTGTTGTGCATTTTCATTTCGATGGAATGATGGCACAACAAGAAGCATTTGACATTCTGGAACAGAGGAGACAGCTTGTTTGGCATCTCATAAGCTCAGCTCTGAGTCTGGTGGGTTATATCATCCTTATTATTGGTATGGAAAGAGTTCAGGGGCACACCCCAGGGAGGCGGAGCTAGTGAGTGTGCGCCAGCCACCACGGTGTGCCTTCCAGGGAGGCGGAGCTAGTGAGTGTGCGCTAGCCACCACGGTGTGCCTTCCAGGGAGGCGGAGCTAGTGAGTGTGCGCTACCCACCACGGTGTGCCTTCCAGGGAGGCGGAGCTAGTGAGTGTGTGCTACCCACCACGGTGTGCCTTCCAGGGAGCACGGCTCATGTTCTTGTGCATGGGGGTGGTGTTCTCTGAGTTCCACCATTTTAGAACATCTTTGCTCCGCTTCCCAGAGCTCTGGCTAAGAGGAGTGCTATCCAGAGGGACCCCCTTGGACCTGTGGTGATGGATGACAGGTAGCAGACATGTCCTACTCAGAAAGGAGACTATCTCCACACTTGGACTGCCCTTTCTGAAAGGGCAGAAGCCCAGGCTAGCAGGATCATACAGGTTTTGTCCACCAAGTTCATTCTTTGTTTAGAAAACAAATGAAAAGTTCCCCTCTGCCCTGCCACCAGGAGAAAATCACACGAGGAATTCCACAACTTCACATTTTCTGCTGAATGTGTACCCTCAGTGGAAAGTTGTATGCATAATGGTGAGTACCCAGGCCCAGATCAGACTGAGTGGCAATCCAGTGATTTGCTGTATGGCTTTGGGAAAATTACTCAATCTCTCTGAGCTTAATTTTCCTCAGCTATAAGATGGAAACAGTTCTGCTGACCTCACGTGGTGGCGAGAGATCAAATGTGGTAATAAACAGCTCTTGGCACGTAGTGGACGCTGTCAGTGGTACATAGTAGTGATTATTGCTACTGGGTATTTTTAATACAGTTAGCAATCATTTAGAAGATGTAACCTATTTAAAAGTCACTTTAAGGTGAGAGGCTGGGCTATTGGCTCATATTGGATTGGATTATCACTGCACAACTAATAGGGAAACAACTCAGGCAGCTGCACTAGACTTAGAAAGTAGGAAAGGGGCAGTACGTCGCTCCCTTCAGTGAATACAGTGTGTGTTCATTGCCTTTGATGCCGCCTCCACCCCGGGTCGTCCTAAGGAGTGCTTCCACCTCTAGAGCTCTACGTCGACCCCAAAGCAGCCCGTGCTAACCGTACTGGTGGTCTCTGATTTCTCTTTTTAATTTTTCCTCTTTCTGAGAATACTGGGCTATTACTTGAAATGGAAAAAGGCTACAGCTGGGATATGAATTAGCGCTTTGATTAACAAGCTGTCCTAGTCACAGTCTGAGCATCCTTTTAGATGTTGTCCAGGGAACCATCTCTCATGAATGAGCATAACCTATGCTCAGAAGGCCAAAAGTGGAAGAGGACTCCATGCTCACTCATTTAGGTGGCAAACATCATTGTACTTTAGATACATTTTAAATTTTGGCCATAGCAACCTTGGGTCCCAGGCTGCTGGCGATGGCAGTATAATCTAGAACGGGTCCAGAAAACAACTTAGGAACACCCATAGAAGCAGGCATTTTCCCTAAGCATTCTTCAAATGACAATGCTGGGACCTCATAAGGAAAGACAGGCAATGGTTATCTCCTACTGCCTTTCGCTGCCAATCTTCCTGTTCTATGGCAGATCTACAGTGTCTCACTGGGCACCATTCCACAGGGGTGGGCTACTCGTGCTGCATGACTGACAAACTTGCAAGGCCAAAGGCTCCACGAAGCTTTCCTTTTGACTGTACTCACACAGGTCTTTTAGAAACTACTAACCAAGCAAAGATGTGTGGGCCAGTGTTAGGTCTCATTTACCCCCAGGCCATTACACTGCAGGATTCACTAGGAAAACATCTCGTTGCAATACCAGTCCTCCAAGTAGATTACCTTAGTGGGGGAAGTGACCTTGTCCACAGATTGCTTTTCCCAGAGGTTCCGCTTGCCGGACACATCTCCCGGCCTCAAGTCCTAAGGAAGAGAGCGCAGAAACAATGCAGAAGTGGTCCTTTTATATTTTCTGGCCAGGTCTAAATACATTGCCACACTTGTTCATATGAATCAATTTATCACCTGCTATATACCCCCAGCAAACTAATAACAGATAGGATAGCGCTATTGCTTGACATTAAACAGACTTATTCTGATGATGTGAAAATGGACTGGAATTACATATAGCATCTGGATCCTCTCCTTCACCAAGGACTGATTTGTTGACTAAGTGGAATATCAGCATATGTAAAATAACGGGAGCTCTCTCTACCTTTCTACCTTCTTGAAGTGAACAGAGCAGGAGTTATTTTACGATAGTTCATCTGGGGGTTGATAAGCATTTCCCACCTGCAGAGTAAGTGCAGGTGCCCTGCCCCTGTCCCATCTCAGGGAGGGTACCTCTCAAGTGAGTGCTCCCTGGTGGCCTCTAGGTCTCCCCCTGGGCATGAAGTGTTCACGTCCCATGTGGTAACTTAGTCACACATCCTTCCCCCCACCACATGCCCTGCCAACTGTATGCACTGGAGTCACTGTGTTAGGGGAATGGGCAGCCCAAACCAAGGCTCTTTCCTAACTGGATTTTCCTCACGCGAAAATCACATAAATCATTTTGGATTTCCTGGGGGGCAAGTGGGTAATTCTGAATGGATCAACAGAACTTAGCGCCACAAAAATAACATCAATCACAAGTCATATCCTTAAGAGAAGCAGACAGTGGATGACATATGTAAGACGGTGTAGAAATTTCGGGAAGGAAACATCAAAATGTGATTAATCATAATTATGGAGTTTTACATTTTATTGACTAATTCATAATTAATTTTATTTGGATAAGGATCCAAATTTCTGTTTCCATTTGCTTTTCTTCCAGCATTTGTTTATATCAGTACTTGGCAAAAGGTCGTCTGTAGAAAAGAAATCTGTTTTGCTGAAATAGCAATGCTTCTTTTGGCAGATCCTTTTGCATCAGGAAGGCAAACTGATAAAAGTCGCACTTGTCCATGGATACCGATCTAAGTGGGCATATTTATGATAGAGGGTGTTGAGGCCGCAACACCGAAAATGCATCGCTAAACGGTACCATGTAAAGTTCACATTTGCCTTAATCTTATTGAGTTTCTGGATTTCCTCTGTGACATGAATTCCTGATATGAAGCAACAAATCAGACTGTTTTTGAAGAATTCCATTCCATTTGCCAACATGGTTAAAAGCTGCCAAATTGGCTGAAAGACCATCTTCAAGTTTTGGAAATTATAATTAGAAACATGTTGATGGAAGCTCTGGAAAGTGGCTAATATCGCTATTTATTTAATTCACATGAGACAAATATTTTTCTTTCACATGAATGTTTTTCTACCCAAGAAAACAGATTGCATTTCCCTGAGATCCTGCCTATGAATCTTCCAAGATCATATAAAGGGTTTAAAGAGTTGTTTTTAAGAAAATCTGAGTACCCTAGCTGCAAGTTGGCATTTTAAATCAAAGGGAAGGTAAAAATGACATTACCTGACCAGACAACATTTTAGATAAAGACCCACTCAGAGGAAGGAGAAGAAATGAAGGCAGGAGAAGCAGTTTGGTTCCCAGTCACCCAAAGACAAAGTGAAGAAGAGAAGTCAGCTGAGAAAGACATTGTTTTTGAAAAAAGAAAAAAGAAAAAGACAAATTAGCTTTTTAATTTCCGTGTAACATATAGACACAAAGAAAGACAAACCAGATAAATTGAATTTCAGTTACAAAGTTACTCCAAAATCCTCTAAATTCTATCTGCAAATAGCAATAGATGTTTCAACAAAGAATCCAGCACAGATCAATGTCTAGTTTGAAATACGTTCATTTTGGGGGACCTTAAAATACTTATTTGACAAAATATTTTGCGCAATTTAATTATTAGTATAATATGTAATATAAACGTGTAATATGTAATGTAAAATCATTACATAACTACTGTTAGAATATGGTTTTTCTCTTCAGTGAGTTTTTTTTTTCTTTAAATACTTGGGCTATCTCCCACTGCTTCCCCAGCCACATTAGCAGGGAGCTGGATTGGAAGTGGAGCAGCTGGGAATCCTACCAGCACCCATACAGGACGCTGCTGTGGCAGGAGGCAGCTCAGTCTGCTACACCACGACACCAGCCACTTCAGTGAGCTTTAATCCTAAGAATTACTCTCCTCCTTAGGGTTTCACTGGCTGAGGACCATTTCCTTCAAAGAAATTCTCTCTGATTTTCTCTTAATGGCCACACGCTGCACATCTACAAACACAAACTCAAGTTTTCCCCTCCACCCACTCATGCCAAGGAACACAAGCAATGGGCTGAGGATGAATTATCTCTGGCCCCAAACCAGAGACACCTTTGGGGGGTCTCCTATTTCTTGTCATCTTTAGGTAAGGTCAGGCTGGCCAGAGTCCCAAGGGTGTCAAACTCAGATGCCTGCCATGAAGGACCAGACTAGAAACACCAATGTCTGAGGCGACTTGACGTAAGAAAACAGGAAAAAAAGGAATCAAGCATTTCCAGAGTGCATGTGCATGTCTCCACACTTTAAAAATATGTTCAAATTAGAATTTAAAAAAGGAAAATAAGATACAACAGAGGGGGTCAAACCACATAGATCTTAGCTGCAGGCTACCAGCGGGAGACCCTTGGACAAGACTTAGGACCTTTGTTTGCTGTGTCTTTGTAAGTTGCCTTCCCTGGAATTTTTTCCTGCCAACTTTTGTGCTCCTGCAGGGCCCTTTTCAGTTTCTGCATTGCTAAAGCTTCACCTCTTTTCTTCTCGACCCACAGTCTCTGTGAACTACCCTCCCGTCTAGCCGGCCTCCGAGTCTTGTCTCCCAGGAAGACTACCGGGTGCAATCCGTACTGCGAGATGGTGTTGAGTCTAAAGTACAGGTTACTACTAAGTCAGGAATGTGCATAAAACTTAATGTTGCTTCATAATCATACTCAAACTCACACTTCACTCCTAACATTCATTCCATATCACTTTCTTCCAGTCTTGTCCTTATTCAGGGAGGCACACTGGTCCAGAAAATCAAAGAGGAGGAAGAGTCATTAAAATCAATACCAGGTGCCACATTCTCCCTTGTCTTTTCTCTCTACCCTCCAGCCGATGGTCTAGGAAATCATCCAAGCATAAGCGAGGTAGGCAATGATCCTGTAAGTTCCCTGTAGTAGTCTTTTGTCCTGACACTTTTTAGGAAGTTGTCAACAGCCCAAGGGGACATTGACACGGTTATATCTATGGTAATAATAACAGAATTTCATCTTTTAAACTTGCCTATTCAGGTAACATTCAGATCATGATAGGCTTATTAGTTGCAGTGTTGGTAAAAGACTAGGGAGCAAATTCTGGACCAACTTTATGAATACAATCCAGTACAGAAGTGAGAAAGATCAGAAATACCACAGATGTGAAAAGACTGCCATCTCCTCTAGCCATGTGGCATATTAATTTATCTTTCTCTCTTTATCCTCTCTACCTTAAGAGATCTTCAGGGGAATCCATGAATTTCATGAACTTGCGTCATATGCATGTTTTGAAGGAGTCAGTCCTTATATATCATGGGTTTTCAAAGATGTCCATAATTCAAAAAGGTTGATAATTACTGGCTTGGAACCATAAAACTTACATAAATTACCATTTAAAATTTATTTTTATTGATTCTTGGCCTTTGACTAATATCAACTGTAAAAAAACCTTTTTTTTTTTTTAATAATTTATACTCTTTCTGCCACCAGCAGAACTGTGAAACTTGAAGCATTTAAGAGTGCATACTTTTTGGGTATGGTCTCCCACATCAACTGTCTCCTGTGAGATGCCCCCTTTTCTGTGTCTACTGGGTTGGGGGAAAAGTTTTATTTCAATATATAAAGATTTTTAAATGGTACATTGGGTTTGTCTTTTACATCTTGTGAGCTCTCATGTAAAGAAAGTAGTCTGAATAATTAAATGGCACAAGGAATTATGCCCCAGAAGGGTATGCAAGCATTTCCATTGTGAACTTTTTTCTTTTTAAGGAAAATGATACAATTGAGTGACTTTGGAGATTATATAGGGAGTCCACACCACCATGCTTCCACAGCACAGAAGGCAAGAATCTGGAAAATTTCTCTACTTCCTCTAGAACGTGGGGCATGGAAGCTGACTCCCAGCTCCCCTGGGCACCAACAAAGATATAAAAGCTAACTTCTCAAAGAAAACTCAGCAATACACAATGGGGAGTTTCATCGTTTTTGCTATAACAAAAAATGCAAGGTGATTATCATAGAAATATTTTCTAAAGTTCATAGAAAATGCATGATGAAAAAAACTGCACATGGATTTCAATGAGTTTTACACTAAAAGTTTGCATTTCACTTCCTATGAACTTTCTGAAGCACCCTCAAACAGCAATGAAAAAGTTGAAAGAGTATTTTTATAGCAAGACAGCTAGGCTTAAGAAGTTAAAAGAAGGTAGATTTTCAAAAACAACATTTCACAACCAGCTTGTCTAATTTCCAGTTTCACTGCGTGTTTTTTTTTTAATGACTTTCCTTTGAAAGTGTTGATAACAAAATTGTAGCAATTATTTCAACAACTACCCAATAATCATATTTTTGTGCCAAGTATTAGAAATTAGGCAAATTAGAAAACACAGGTTTTGAAAAAGCCAATGTGTATATTCATTTGGGAAAAAGTATAGGAGTGCTCTTGCCAGAGATGTAGCCAAAATAACTTGACATTTTATTGTCAAATTCCTGCCCATAATTTATAGAGTAGAAGCTAACCAAATAGGCCAGCAACATGTCTAAATTTGAACAGCCTCAACGTGCTAACTTCCCCACGTGGAGTGGAGAGGTGAGTATTTGGTCCCAGGTGAGCCTGCGGGTAACGCGGTGTGACTGCGCAGGACGTCTGTACTCCACACCTCCTTGCTGGTTAATCAGCAGGGACTGAGAAGAACAGGGACACGATGCATTCTAGCGAAACAGACCAACTGCTTGTTCCCTTCCGCTGCTGCAAACTGAGAGGTCAAACAAGTTCAGAAAACTCGCGAGTTACTTACAGAAGGCTTGGGGGCAGGTGACTTGCTGCCATCCGGGGTTTTGGTTAGCCATTCATTGATGCGGCTGGAAACTCCTACCTTCAGGCCGGCGGTTTCCTACAAAGAGTCAGTCACCCAAGTAAACCTTAGCTGGGAAGACACCACCAAAGCAACCTCAAAATACCAGTAAGCACGACTTCGGGGCTTCCATTGATGTTTAAAGAACACACTGTCTGATCCCCGCCCCCCCACCCCGTACCTTCTCTACCCTGAACCCAAGAGCAGAGGACCAATCTCAGGTATTTCATTTAGAGCTGCATGGCCAGAGCCTAGCACACAGGGTAGCCTCGTGAACAGCTCTCTCTCAGCTCACTTCTGTGGTCACTGCCACACAAAGTATGGATTGCACCTGCTTCACTGCTTTTATGATTATTATCATTTTAAGATTTATTGTTTATTTGAAAGGTAGACTTACGGGGCAGGGAAGGGGTAAGACAGAGAGAGAGAGAGAATCTTCCACCTCCTGGTTTATTCCCCAGGTGGCCACAATGGCAGGAGGTGGGCCAATCTAAAGCCAGGAGCCCGGAGCTTCCTCTGGGTCTCCCACACCGGTTCAGGGGCCCAAGTACTTAGGCCATTCTCTGCTGCTTTTCCCAGGCCATAGCAGGGGGCTGGATCGGAAGTGCAGCAGCTGGGACTGGAACCGGTGCCCATATGGGATGCTGGTGCTGCAGGTCACAGCTTTACCTGCTATGCCACAGCACTGGCCCCCAGTCTGCTTGTATTATTAACTTCCCTAAAACAGAAGGGAAAAACAGATCCACTCCTCTAGACTTAAAAGACAAAAGTCGTGCACGCACCTTGTTCGGGGTGCCTGACGCAGTGGGGGCGGAAAACACGTTCCCTTTCTCCCACATGCTCTTGATGTTGCGCACACCTTCAGCAGGGACAGGCAGGTCCGAGGCGGCTGGTTTTGTAGATTTTGCAGCTTTCGTTCCCTGAAATGATTATGTTGAGGATGCAAAGTTTGTTCCTGTAAGATTACGTGAACTTCCTCCCTCAACATCAGCATTTTTAGAAATTCATTGTGTAAATTCCTTCACCAAAAGTGAATGGTCATTTCTGCTCTGCATTCTGATGGTATGTGTTACGCAACATAAATCCTAACAGCCGGTCACAGGATCTAACAAAACGACATGTGCTTTGTTAGGGGGAACCACTGATTGCTAAGGTGATAGTCTACCTTGTTTCTTCAACAGATAGTTCTCAAATGCCTACTGTGTGCGGGGCACTCTGCTAGGACCTGAGTACACAGTTTTCCTTAAAACAAGGCAACCTGCTCTGTAGGCTGTAGAGTGCTATGTATCAATAGGACAGAAAGGTAGTAACAAGCTACACAAATATTTATTTCACATCGTCGTGTAATAAGTGAGTGAGTGCAAGAGAGCGCTCAGTAGGAGAATCCTACTTATTTTTGGGGATGCAAAGAAAGCTACTCTGAAGACTCGGAAGTGTGTGAAGTCCGGAGGCAGGGAAGTGTTCAAAGATAAAAACTGAGATGCCACTCCATAGAGAATATTCTGGAAGGAAGATATAGGAAAGAAAGGTGTGTGTTTGAGATACTTTTCCAGCAGCATTAAGACATGCCCCGAATGGCACAAGTTTCTCTCCTGGTCCTGCTTGGTAGCCTGGGGGCTATGGTCAAAATGATCAACTAAGACAAGTGTCACCACCAGTGACCACGCATAAAAAACAATCCCACTGGACTATGCAGTCTGAAGCCCCAGTCTTAGCTTTGTTAGACCTCTTGGTGCCATGACCAATTCAACCACAGAAAACAACTGCTGTGGTGTGAACACAATTTTGCTCCTGGACTCATGCTGGGCTTCATACGCAGAAGTCATACGTTAATGGCACTAAGAGTTAGTGTTTGGAGGTGGGGCCTGCAGGAGGTGGTTGGATTGGGATGGGCTGTTAGGGCAGAGCCCCTGCGTTTAAATCTTGGTGATTTTGTAAGAGACCAGAGACATATACAGACACGCATGTTCCCCCCTCCCTCCTTCATGGCTGACTGCATGACCCTAACTTCACACTTCATCATTGCTGCCCTCATCCAAGAACAAACCAATCTTGCACCTCTTGCTCCAAAAACGTAAGCTGAAATGAACCTTTCAGTTTTATAAAGTTAATTTTCTTGGGTATTTCACTGTCGTGATGAAAAGCTGACTCAGAACTATCTGTAATTTGCCCTACATTTTAGTGGACATTCATCACATCTTGAGTGTTAGGAATTGATTAGTCACCTGATATTCATCAGATCTTTCTCCTTGTTTCCCTTATCATCTGTGTGAACTACTTTTCGAATATCTCTACTCTAGAGGACAAAGGAGAGGATAAAATTAAATGAAATGGATCAATTGTATCACAGCAGGTGTTCCAAGACAGCACGAGGCCAAAACCACTGGCTAAGGTCTACACGGCAGGTTCCTATATGATGAATGACACCTACCTCTTAGTGCTTTGGTACTTGGAAGTATGCATTATTTCCAGAGTAAAACACACAGGCCAATTGAGTTGGAAAAAAGTTAGAGTAGCCAGAAGCATAAAACAGTCAAATAGGAAACAGTCTATTTGAAACTAATGCTTAAAGTTGCCTATTGTCTTTACATTACTTTATACTACTAATTTTCTTTGATAATCAAAATTTTTATAAACAAAAGAGGACTATGTAAGATTGTAAGAGGTTAATCACATTTAGGAACACAGTTTATGAGGAATTAAGTCTACTGAAGATATACTGTGAACATATACATTAACATAGTTACATACCAAGGAACTCATTTATTAAAACAATAAAGCTCTTTGTTAAAGAATATTCAGGTCGATTTTATTGAAAACTGTTCCATAGTTTATCTTTTATTTCTATACTTCTCAAAAACTAGTTCAAAGTATAATAAGGCATCATTAATATTCCTTTATTCCAAATGGTATTCATTTGAAAGGCAGAGCAAGATATCTATCTATCTATCTATCTATCTATCTATCTATCAAGAGAGATTTCTTCCTCTTTTTCACTCCCCAGTTGCTTGCAACAGCTGGGGCTGGGCCAGGCTGAAGCCAGGAGTCAGGAACTCTATCCAGGTTTCCATGTAGGAAGCAGGACATCCAATTCTTGAGCCATCATCTGCTGCCTCCCAGGCACTTCAGAAGGAAGATGGACCAGACGTGGAGGTGTGACTCTATCCTGGCCACTCCAGTATTGGATGTGGGTGACTCAAACAGTGAATTAACCCACTGTGCTCAAATCCCACACAGCATCATTAATATTCGACCACTACTGCGGCTACTGGAATTGATTCTTGTTCTAAGTGTTCCTATGACCTTCTGCTCAACAAGGCCATCATTCTGAAACCAATTCTCACCTCGATTGCACTGGTGTACTGCTCCAGTCTGCTGTCAATCTTAGACACGACTGCTGCTTGATGAGTTGATTTGACACCACTGCTAAAAAAAAAAAAAAAAGAAAAACCACATATGTGTAAAAATATGAGAATCATTCCATACATATAAGAGCTAACTTTTCGTAAATGAACAATCAACCACATTTACCTTTTCTGCACAGACTTGTTCAAAAACTCTGCTCGCTCTTCTATCTAGGAATTGAAAAATGCAATAAATCCAGTTAATGGTTTTAGCTTGTACACACTTGTTTCTCAGCCCATGCCAGTAGCATTCCTGAACAAGGTGATACAAAAGCCAGAGTATTTAAGGGCATTCAGATACTACACACAGGAACTCTGCTATGCAAGAACTCTGGATACGTTATTTGATAGTCAGATTTGAGGGCTGCGGTTAGGATTGGCAGAGGATATAGAAGATGTAGAGAAGTATTTTCTAGAGGCCAATTATAACCATATTGAAATGAAAATGAAAATCACCCTGAATTAATATAAGTCAGTGGCACAATATTTAAAATACAAAACTATAATAATTTCTTCTCCATAATACATGTTATTAACCTTTTAGGACATACTCGTATGAGTGCAGAAATACTATGCTATTTGATTAACAAAAAAAAATTCCCAAAATGACTTAACTATATACTTGCTATATAACAGGATCAAACAAGACACCTAACTAAGAGTTGTGAACTATTCACTATTGCTTAGCCTTATTTCCTAACTCGGTAGGTGGTGAACACAGTGTTGAACTTGACTTTCTCCTGCAAAAGATGGGAATGGGGAAGAGAATGAGGGTGGGCAAAGCTCCTCATAAGGGATGGAGGCTTCCCCATTAAGCTCCTTCCTCTTAGCCCAAGTGGGAAATAAAGAAATAAATCCAGAGGAGCTGTGATGGATACATGCTAACCTGACAGTTCAGTAGTCCTTAACGAGGTACACAAACATTTAGTTCATGATACCCCTAGTATCTCTTACAATGTAGGACAGAACTGGAACTTACAAAAAATTAATAAACACCACAAAGATTTTGAAAAACATGCTCTATTCCTAATATCAGCTGAATCAACACTTCATAGATGTTGGTAAGGTCACTTCATTCTTTTTAATGATTTCTTACAAAGATAAATGCAAACCTTTACTAAAAAATTTATACAGAAAAGGGCTGTATGGGGAGCCTAGCATTTATGAGATATTATGGATCCATAAAATAAACATTTTTTTGCTGATTTTAATTATAAACTTAGAAATGCTTTTCTGTACAAAAAGTTTCCAGGTGAATGAGGTGAAATAGTTTAGAACCATGCAATGGACTGGCACTTTTAATATTTCCCATCCTTGCCTCTATCCATCCATCCATCCATCTATCCATGGACCCATCCACTCATCTAAGCCAAACAGCTTGTCAGTCAAACTATCAACCAACAAATTGTATTTTGAGTATCTTCCGTTTAAAGTTATCTTCCCAGCGGTAAATAAGATGGTGCTATGGACTGAGTTGTGTCCCTCACTCTAAAATTTACATTTTGAAACCTTCCCCTCCCACCCCACCCCTACTCCTGGCCTTATGGCTATATCTGGAGGTGAGGCTCTGAGAAAGTCACTAAGGAGAAATGAAGTCATCGGAGTGGGGCCCTTATCGAACAGGATTAAAACCCTTACAAGAAGAGACACTAGATACTGTGTGCTCACTCTTTCTACCCCGGGAGGATACAGTTGAGAAGGTGATCATCCATGAGCTCTTAGCAGAAGCTGAATTGGCCAGTACCGTCATCTCAAAGGTTTCAGACTCCAGCACTGTGCAGACCAGTCCAGGGAGCTTTGTTACGGCAGCCTGAGCAGACTAAGACAGTTAAGGGCCCATTCTTAAAGAGCACATCATTTAAGCACCAGCATGTGGCACAGTGAGAAAAGCTGGCACCTGTGACACCAATATGGGTGCTGGTCTGCATCCTGGCTGCTCCACTTCTTTTTTTTAATTTATTATTTTTTTTCATTTTTATTTTTTTTGACAAGCAGAGTGGACAGTGAGAGAGAGAGATAGAGAGAAAGGTCTTCTTTTGCTGTTGGTTCACCCTCCAATGGTCACCGCGGCTGGCGCGCTGCAGCCGGCGCACCACGCTGATCCGGTGGCAGGAGCCAGGTGCTTCTCCTGGTCTCCCATGGGGTGCAGGGCCCAAGGACCTGGGCCATCCTCCACTGTACTCCCTGGCCACAGCAGAGAGCTGGCCTGGAAGAGGGGCAACCGGGACAGAATCCGGCGCCCCGACCGGGACTAGAACCCAGTGTGCTGGCACCGCTAGGTGGAGGATTAGCCTAGTGAGCTGTGGCGCCTGCCCGCTGCTCCACTTCTAATCCAGTTCTTTGCTAATGGCCTAGGAAAGCAGTGCAGGGTGGCCCAAGCACTTGGGCTCCTGCCATCCATGTGGGAGACCCAGATGAAGCTCCTGGCTGCTGGCTTTGGCCTGGCTCAGCCCTAGTTGTTATAGCCATCTGGGAAGTAAACCAACAGACAGAAGATTTCTGTCTGTCTGTCTCTCTCTCTCTGTAACTCTGACTTTCAAATAAATAAATAAATAAAGGAGCACATGATTTGCTAGGGAAGAATAATAACACACATCCATATTTAAGACTCAATGGCAGATACATAATACAGATTAAAAGTAAATGTTACATCTATAAGAGAAGGAACTCTGGCGGAGTTGAAGAAGGCTTTTCAGGAGTTCTGAATTTGGGCTGAGATTTGTAGTTTGCAGTGTCAAAAATCAGTGTATGCAGCTAAGGGTAGGAGCACATGAGTTAGAGGGAAAGGGACATTTCTAGCACAGAAATGCACGTTGCAAGACGTGCGGCAGGTAGAGTGGTGGAATGGAGAACAGGATAGAGAACAAGTCAGCAGGACGGCAGGGCGGAGACTTATCCTCTGTAACAGTGTCAGCATCTTTCTGATCCAGGGACCATCCTTCTAACCTTGGCCATCTTCTCTACTCTAAAATCAGAGGCTCTCTGACTTCTAACTCCTCCTTTTATACTTAGAGTCGCTAACGTAGCTTGATTTCATGATCACGTTTGTATTAGGAGGTGGGACCTTCGGCAGGCGACCAGATCATGAGCACAGAGCCCTCATGAATGGGACTCATGGCTGACAAAAGAGGCCCGAGGGAGCTCGTGTGCCTCCTTTCCTTCTCCTTCCACCACGTAAGGACACAGTGCAGCGCCACCCATGGCTAACAGGCTCTGCCTCGATACTGAATCTGCCGGTGCCTCGACCTGAGATCTCTCAGCCTCCAGAATTGAAAGGAACACATTTCAGTTGTTCTCTCTTGGGTATTTTGTTAGAGCAGCCCCAAAAGGGTGACACAGAAGGAAAGCAAAATCAACGAGACAAAGGTCTTGAATAATCAACAACTAATTAAGGGGTTAAACCAAGCTCCGGCATTTTATATGATGAGCGGTTAAGCCAAGCTTTGGTTTTTGTGTGATATGAGTGGTGTTATAAGAAGGTTTTTTGGCAAGACAATACCTTGAGAGATGAACCCTTAGGAGTGAAGCACTTGAATGGCTTCTTGTCATCTGACAGGCCGTCTTCTGGCATCTTCTGCCGCTTCTCAGCGGCTTCTGCCCGTCGCCTTTCAATCTCTTCCTTTAGCCTTCTTTTCTCCTCCTAGGAGAGAAAGAGCAAATACAAGGACATCATGGCCAGGCTGGAGGCTGCAGAGAAAGGGCCCTGGTTGGAGAAGCAACCTCTCAGGCTCGAGGGTGGAAACCACCCCTGTCCCCAAGGGTGCTCAGAGGATAACCCTGAGCACTGGAGTCCAGCTGTGTGGACTTGCATTCTGCTGTGGCTGCTGCTCTCCCTCTGTGTGACCCTGAACATGCTGTGTACCAGAGGGGTCTCTGCTTCAGTTTCGCCAGCTATAAACATAATAATAGCACCCACTTCCTAGGGTTTTCATGAGCTCTGTGAGAGCAAGCACAGTAAAATGATTAGACTAGTGCTTAGTATGGTGAGTCCATAAAAATGATGCGTTTTCATCCCCATCCTATGAATCCTTTAACCCTAACCTTCCATTTCTGAATGTGTAAAATGAATATGAATATCTCTTTTACCTACTTCCTATGACACACACAAAGACTGATGAGATGGCACACATGAAAATGTATGTACATCTACGGTGCCATATTTGCCAAATCATACAAGAAATGATTTTATGGTTGCCTCACACCTCAACGAAATAGATTCTTTCAGGTGATTTGACAAATCTGAAATGATGTGGCCAGCGTGCCATAGTGGTGCAATCACTGATGTTTACAATCTCTCTCACCACCTTCTCTATGCCTTTATTTCTAGTCTAGAATATTCTACACTGTCTTCTCAGTTAGGCAAGAAGTTCAGAGCTCCGAGCAAGTTGTACATCCTCTAAGAATGATTTTCAGAAAGATCTATGCCATCTTTGTAGCTTTCCCACTCCGAGATCACTGTCATCGGACACTCTCCAGCAGTGACTCGGGGTCCGGCCGTCAGAAGACACTGCAGAAAGAGCCCGTGCCTGGTAGGAGCTTGGACCAAATAACCTCCAGGGTCCGATCCAGGTCTGCTTTCCCCGGTACTCTCCTCTTCTAGATAATCATCACAGCCCCTACCACTACTGCTTCTTGAATAGCTATCATGTGCCGAGCATCGTGACTGTGCCAGTCTGCCTAATCATCAGAATGATCCTGCAAAGCAGGCACCACCGCAGGAAGGAACGAAGACTTAGAGGAGTCCGACAAGTCCAAGGTCCCAGCTTCTCCGTGGCCGAGCTGGGATACAAGGGTACGCTTGATTCTAAAACCCTATCATCCCAACCACTTTCCATCCCAAGGTCTTTGGATCATTGAAAGTTGGAGTTGGAAGAGACCTTGGAATAATTTATCCAAATTTTCCACCCGTTCAGGGAATTTTGGTAAAGAACCCATATCTGAAAGCTATCGAAAGTCCTTTTGCACATTCTGAATGATGTGAAATCATTATCGCAAAAGATCCAGGTCAGAGCTGGAAAAGCTGGGTCCAAAGACGGAATCTTCAAGTGACTCACATGAAGTGTTTGATGCCTGCTGGTTTCTCTGTCCACGAAATGAGAATGTACTTCAGGATGCAAGGGAAGAATGCACTTTGTAAACTGCAGCAGTGGAAGTTAGAGTTGGTTAGCCTTTTTTCCAATGCTGCGCCAACATGTTCCTCCTTGTAACTTTATCTGTAGATTTGGTTTGGTCTTAAAAAGAGGGAACAAATTCATCCGCTCATAATGATAGGGTCCCTGCTGCACCCGGGTGGGGGGCACTGCACTGGTTCCTGGGTATGCAGTAGGGAACAAGCAGATTCTGTCCTGTCCACATTTTAACACAAGTTAATACATTCTAGAACCCACAAAAATGATTTGGAAAATCTCTATTAAACTCCTTCTCACTTCCAGCACTGTGGCATAGCAGGTGAGGCCGCTGCAGTGACGGCATCCCATATGCCCGGGCACCAGTTCAAGTCCCAGCTGCTCCACTTCTGATCCAGCTCTCTGCTGTGGCCTGGGAAAGCAGTAGAAGATGGCCCAAGTCCTTGGGCCACTGCACCCACGTGGGAGACCTGGAAGAAGCTCCTGGCCCCTGGCTTTGGTTCAGGCCAGCTCCAGCCGTTTGCGGCCATTTGGAGAGTGAACCATCAGATGGAAGACCTTTCTCTCTCTCTCTGCTTCTGTGTAACTCTGCCTTTCAAATAAGTGAATAAATTTGGAAAAAAAAAAAAAAACCTCTTCCAATATTAGAAAAAATCTCTCACATACCAATTTGCCAAACTTTCATCCTTTTGGCTCCCTAAATTTCTCCATTGAGTGGCACTGTAGGGTTAAGACAACTGGGCGCTTGGGAAAATTACAAAAGAAAAAACCAAGGAAACCACTCCATGCGCTGGCTTCATCCGTTAAAACCGGGGATGACAACCCTCCTCAGAGAGTTCTTAGGAAAACCGGATACAGTAGCAGGTCTGCAGCCTTTAGCACCGCGCCTACTGCACAGTAAGCTTATCATTCTTCAAACAGAGTCTAGAGTCTATGCTCCACGGCTTGGGGGAGAATGACTCCTGGGCCAGGAGGGTGCGCAGGGGCGCGCTCTGGCGCAGGGCTGCGCGCTCTGGGCCAGGAGGGTGCGCAGGGGTGCGCTCTGGCGCAGGGGCCAGGAGGGTGCGCAGGGGTGCGCTCTGGCGCAGGGGCCAGGAGGGTGCGCAGGGCCGCGCGCTCCTTACCTCCTCTCGAACTTTCCGGTCTGCCTCCTCCTGCTTCTTGCGCTGCTCTTCCTCCTCCAGGACTTTCCTTCGCTCCTCCCTCTTCTTCTTCAGCTCCTCCAGCTCCAGGGCCGCCTCCTGCTGCTTCTGTTTGAGCTTCTCGAACTCCTCGCTCTCGGTCTCCCCGCGGCGGCGGCGCAGCTCCTCCAGCCGCTTGCCGGCTTCAGCCTCCTGAGCGTCCCCGCTGGGTCTCGCTCCGGAGCGGCCGGGGCTGCAGGGAAATGGAAAGGGGGTTGACACGCTTCTGCCTGGCTCTCTCCCCTGGAGGAATGCGGATGTCCAGTGTGCAGGCTTGGCGCCCCTAGCCCCAGGCCCTCTGCCTGGCCCTTGCCACTGGAACCACACCCCGGGTGGAGGGGGAGGTGGCCAGTCCCAAGATCTTAACAGGAGCCACCTGCTCTTGGTGTTCTCGGTTGTAAACCAAAGCAAATGGGCACGTGGCTGGGTTTGCGAAATGGTGTAGCCATATGGAAAACGGGTTGGAGGCTCCTGGGCGTTAAAATAAGACAGGCTCTCGGGAGACATTTGCACACCCGTTATTCACAACAGCTAACGGTTGGAAGCAGCCCGAGGGTCCACGGACAAAGGGCATGTGGTACAGCCAGGCACGGGGAGAGTAGCCAGCCTTCAAGAGAAAAGAAACCGCACGCAGACAGGCGTAAAGAGGCAGTTCAGGTCAATGCCACGTCCATGAGGAATAGACAGTAGGGGAATTCATAGAACGCAGAGTGGTGGCTAGGAGGGGCTGGGCGGAATGAAACATAGGGAGCTGTGGCGTGAGTATGCAGGTATATGTAAGATGGAAGTGTTTTAGAGATCTGTGTGCAGCATTGTGAATGTACTTTACACTACTGAAGCGTGCATTGAAATGTGGTTAAGATGGTAATTTGTATGTTACACGGTGGGTTTTTAATTGCCACGGTTAAAAACAAATACACGCTAAATGCTATAACATGGAGAAAGATGGGGCAAACACTCGTCGTTCTATTCACCTTGGTGAACTATTCTTTGGGTCTCATGGGAGTAAATATTAAATAAACATTAGCTTACATATCATTCATAAAGGTTGGCTGTTATTAGAAAGAGAGGCATGCAGCCTAAAACGTTACTTCGTATGCACTGTAAGGAGTGGCCTCATTATTCTCGTCCATTAAGTTACCAGATCACTTAGGTCTACCTGGAATCCTGGATCAGGAGGAAGACAGAGAGGCTCAGGCGCTGGGGACAGGGGCTGAAATAAATCCATCCATCCACAACTTTGCCTTGACCTTGACCCTGACCACAGATTTCCCGAAGAGGAGATCAGCCATCGCCCCTTGAGTTGAGCACAGAACATTTGTCTGTTTCTTACAGGGCTGCGCCAGGGGAGTGCCTGATGAGGAGGCATTCATTGACCCAGGCTTTCACATTGGGCATTTTGCCCTCATGGACCTCAACATGACTGCAATACTCATGTTCCTATGAGGACTTCATATGACCTAATTAGTTCTGCTATGATATGCTTGGGGTTGCTACTTTATGCTTTACAAATCCTCTTCACATTCTTCATCTCTCTTTTTAAAAGATTTATTTATTTATTTGAAAGTCAGAATTACAGAGAGAGAGAGAGAGAGAGAGAGCTTCCATCCACTGGTTCACTCCCCAATTGGCCGAAACAGCCAGAGCTGTGCTGATTCAAAACCAGGAGCCAGCAGCTTCCTCCGGGTCTCCCACACAGGGGCCCAAAGACTTGAGCCATCTTCTACTGCTTTCCCAGGCCATAGCAGAGAGCTATATCAAAAGTGGAGCAGCTGGGACTCGAACCGGCACCCGTATAGGATGCTGGCACTGCAGGCAGTGGCTTTACCCGCTCCACCACAGCGCCGGCCCCTTCTTCATCTCTTTTAATGGTCACAATAGCTGGGAGCTTTTCAGGTTAGATTTGTCATCACCAAATAAGGGGAAAGAAAGAAGGTGAAAAAATAATTTACCCAAAATTTGATAGCTAGGAAGTGAATGAGCCCTGAACAGATCCTAATGCTTCCCCAGCAATTATACTTTTTTCCACTACAACTGTAATTATATCGGAGTTACATATGATTTGTTATAAAATGATGAATCAATTGGAACAGAACATGTTAACCCACCTCCCACCCTATCCCCTCAAACGTGGAGGGTGGAGAATTCATGAGGGATGCTTCCTAAGAATGTCTAAGTCTGGGTCTAGCTACTCTCCCTGCCTGAGAGGAAGCAGATAGCCCAGATAGAGAGCAGGAAGAAAATGAGTAATCTTGTAAGTAGGAACCAAAGTTGAAATTGACACTGAATTTTTCTTTTGTGATTAAAAGGGAACACAGGGCGGGGGGGGGGGGGGGGGGCTGGCACTGTGGTATAGCAGGTAAAGCTGCCGCCTGCAGTGCCGGCATCCCATATGGGCCCTGGTTTGAGATCCAGCTGCTCCACTTCCGATCCAGCTCTCTGCTGTGTCCTGGGAAAGCAGTAGAAGATGGCCCAAGTCCTTGGGTCCTTGCACCTGCATGGGAGACCTGGAAGCTCTTGGCTCCTGGCTTCAGATCAGCTAAGCTCTGGCCGTTGCAGCCATCTGGGAGTGAACTAGTGGATGGAAGACCTCCCCCCACCCCTTTCCCTCTATCTCTCTGGCTCTGGCTCTCTCTGTAACTCTTTCAAATAAATAAAATAAATCTTAAAAAGTTGGGGGGAGCACAGGGATTTCATTGCAGAATCCGGAACCTGTTAACTGAAGACAGACTGCTATCCCAAGTCCTTGTGTTCACATTTTATTTCAGAACTGGTGTTCTTAATGATTTGCAGAAATCATATAAGAAGATGGGGAGACAGCATTAGCACCTACGGACCCCACGTTCCTTTAGAACATTGATGATTTTGACACTAATAAGAGTAGAAGTAGAACTTCAGCAGAACATGGTATTTCCACTAAAGCAGAATTCACAGTCGTTAGATCAGCCTGGGGCTTTATTCACAAGAATTTAGTGGTGTGTTCAAAGGGCCTTGGTGCAGTTAGTCTTAAACTAAGAGACAAACATATAGCTTGTTGCCATTTAAATACTTATTAACAAGTAGTGAGGCTTTCTTAACTAGAGCTGAAAAAAGGGAGCCAGTTCCCGACACATTTGTCTTAGAACGGATGAATCTGCGTCTTTTACTCCATGCAGACAATGTCACAGGGTTTCTGCTTATGGAGCAGAGAATGAATAAAACAATGAACAGGTTCAAGATATACATTAAACAATCTTGATCTTATAGGGTATATCTCATAATATTAAGCATTGGGGTAGTTCTGAATATACTATGTTCTAGGACAATGTTTTTCAAGCGGTATAATGGAAAATCAATTAGTGGATTATAACCAGCATTGAAAAGTATAATAGAAAAGCCAGCGTGCATTGCATAGAGCAATGGAAAAAATACTATGTCTTGAATGTTTGTCTCATTGCAAATATTTACTAGCATATAGGTATATACTGGGCCATGATGCAAAACTTATTTCTTACTAAGGGTTGAAGTTTAAAAGTTTAAAATGAATGTTTTTGGTTCTTGATGAACTTTAAAGATGAACTTGTATTTTGAACTCCAACTGAGCTGTTTTAAAACCTTACATTATTTTTTTCCCCAGGATCTTACAGGCTTACAGGTCTTTGACACCTCTCCCAGCCCACTGCAGGTCCTTGTGACTTCAGAAATGATCCTGCCCTCTTTGTGTTCCCAAGAGCTGGAGTGGCAAAACACATCTGCAGAAACCTCTCTGGATTCCACTAGGTGTCGCTGTGTCTTTGTTTTGGACAATCAAGACGTCCATCATTAGGGACTAGTCATCCTACCCACCCAGTGAAATATTCTAACATCGTCACTTACAGACTTGTATTTATCGCTACAGAAAGCTAGCTATGATCCGTCACTATGCACAACAGTGAAATCCTTGGTATAATCTATCTCCATCACTTGATCATTCAAATGGAGAGTTTTGTGTCATGTTTCAGGGAAAACATTATGGTTACATGAAGACGGGATTATCAAAGGAGACGGTAATGAAATCAATCACAAGAAGCTATGATCAAAACAGGAGAAAGAGTTTTGTCTGCATGACCTTGACTTATATATGTGGACCTGCCTTTAGCATCAGGGTCCCACTTACATGGAAATTTCTCCCACAAAGATCTATCTTCGGCTGTGCTAGGTTTACGACAAACATCAAACCTTTGGTCATTAAGAACAAAGCCTGTTTGCTGTTAAACCAGCAGGTACTAAGTTCCTAGAAATAGAGGCTCCTCCTCCCTTCCTTGTTTCTCATTTTGTAAGTACGAGAAGCAAAACCATGCTTCTGTGCCTCTGTGCACATCAACACGAGTGAAACTAAAACACAGATGCTGGCAGCTCATGACAATGAGTAATATGGGGGCAGCTTGTCCTTGTGTTTCTTTTCTGCCCAAAGACGGAAAAATCAAGGCAAGAATCTCATTTAAATGTTTTCGGTGCTCCAAACATTTCCAATTCTTTGATAAGTTTCTCTTTGAATTACCTAGTCCTTTGGAGGTCTACACATAGGCATGCTAATTATTAATCTGAACTTTGGCTGAAGCACCTTGGCAAATTTGCTAATTGTTAAACCAAACTTCTTTATAAGAACAGAGTTTAAAACATTGTTTCTCTTAGAAAACTAAAACGTGTATCCTTAAAAAAGCCTTACACCTACAAAACATATTTTAAACCATCAAGTAATGAAATAATATTCATATTAGGTCATAGTCATTGAACATTTTTCAGTAATCCGATACAGTAGTACAGGGATTTAAAACACTAAGTTACAGGCGTTTCAGCAAGCTTTGGGTAAGGAACAACCTCATGGAAATCCACATCTCAGGGCCTGAAGACTCTTTTCCAATACCTCTGCTAGAGCAGCCACTGGCACAACAGAGGTTGAGATTTGGCACCAGTGGGTGGAGGGAGTGTGGTGGGCATGGGACACAGAATCATGTAGCCTGGTGTTCATGGCAGCTCCCCAGCTCCCTCTGCAGGATGAGCGGGGAGTCCTCAGTATTTAATCGTATGCAGGAGTGAGGATTTACTGACGCAGACTGGTCTAGTGTGTCTAAAAGTAGGTGGTGCAGGTGGGTATATGTGAGGGGGAGGAAACCAAGGCTAAGCGAGAGAACTTCCCAAGCTGTGTAAAGTGGAGCAGTCACCCCATGCCTTCTTCCTTCCTCTTGGAGATTTCCCGTGCAAAGTAACGCTAAGGATTCTCAAGCTCCTGGGCATGAGAGATCTGATTAATTTAGTTTAATTGATTATCTCCCAAGTGCCTGGGCATGGGAGAATTTTGCCTCTCTGCAACATTCGTTTACAACCTTTAGAAACTGCATTCCTGAAAAATGGTACCGACAAGTGGTTCTTATGAGGTTGGCCGAATCACATACAAAATAAACCAACAACATTAACCTGTCATAGTGTTTTTTAATAAACTGGTCTCGCCTAAGCATATTAGGTCAGTGAACAAAAACATGGTGCCACGCGTGATCTGCCCTGCAAAGACTGGGAATAGGAGATTAAGCCCTGGCTGAGTAATGACTGCTGGTCTCTTGTTAGAGTCGAGTGAGCCAGACCTGCTGACTGTGTATCTCTAAGACAATGGCCAATAACCTCACAACACAGGAATTTTGCCTGTTTAGCACGTTTCTGTCTGGAGACACAGCACAGGGAGACTGCTTTTTTGTCCGGATGTGAACAGAGTCACTGTTAAGTAGCCACTCCTTCTTACCTGAAAGTATTCTCGGCATGTTTAAGTTTATGAGTCATGAACTCGCCATTCTGCGACTTCACGTCTGTAAATCCCTTCTTTCTGTCCATGAAGCTCTTAACTTCTTCTTTGGCCTCTTTGTCCTTCTTAATCTTCTCGTCCTTGACCTAACCAACAGTTCACATCAGGAAGAAACATAATGGTAAAAATAGCATTAGATTTTGGTTGGTTCTACCAAGTAAGACCTCCCTCAGATTGCTAGGAATCCAGAAAACTCAGAAGCAAAACAAACCACCCAGAGGACTATGGGTAGAGCAGCTGGGATCAGAGGAAATTCTCAGAGAGTGAGCTCTGGTCCTTTCGCCTGTGAGCAGAGACCTTGACCACAATTTTAAGAAATCAAGTTCATCCTGGGTCTCACTGGGGTTTTTGTTTTCAAGATCAGTGAGGGTGTTAATGTTTAAAAAAATTATTACGTTCTGGGAAGGTCATGTAAGAGGAGCTGTTTGTAATTCCCACTGGGAAGAGGAATTATTAGTGCAGCTTTGATGGAAGAACGGCCAGGTTGTTTGGACAGGTTTCTTTTGGGATGTAAATTTTTGAGACGGACACAAGAGAGAAAGCAAGAAGAGCAAACCTCCCAAGTAAGCCAGATCAGTCAACCCAATTCTGGAAAAGCAAAGTGAGGGAACCTCAGCGTGTGTTTTTTAATCAAATGAGTAATTAGGTCCCAAGGATGGTATGCATAATAACTCTGTATTTAGCAGGCACTCAGAAACCATGTTTATAGTCTTCTAAATCACTACAGTTAGAGAAGAGAACAAATTCCAGGGTTTAAACCCTGCATGTGTGTAGTCCTCGCAATTACTATAGTAAGAATGGAATGAGAAGAAAATGCAGGGTTTACCTTGACTTCCACTGCTGGGAAAAGAGAGTCGTCTGGAAGTGGTTTTGTGATTGTGTTGGGAGACACGGGCAGACAACACGTGAAGGGCAGATGCTGGTGTGAGTATTTTGGGGGTTCTGGGCTACAAGTGCCTCACGGGCGCTGAGATGGACTGGGTTAAAGCAAACTGAATGTACACAGCTCATTGGGAAGTAAAGGCGCCAGCAGTACTGTACCTAGTACATCTCACTCCTTCTTAAAAGCTGAGTGTGAAAACAAGTGAGGCGCATTATTGTTCAAGACAAACAGTTCCAAAACACTAGTGTTCTGAAGAAGCCCACAGAGGAAGGGCAGGCGTAAGGACTTAGGGCCTCGGGTTCTGCTGTCTCGGAAGCTCTTCTCTTAGTGGATCACCCGCCTCCTCCCAGCGATTCAGACACCTCCGAACACTGACTCCTACAGCACGTTTTTAATGCACAGTGCATTATTTTGCTTTTTACTGATAGACATTTCAACAGTCCTTTGCCTGACTGTCTTCCTTGGGAACGACTCGATTAAATTACTGAAGATGAAGTGTCCCCTGTGCTGCCCTGATTGATTAAGGCTTCATCTTTCTCTTAGGGACGCCTATCTAGGACGTCCCTTGGAAATGCTGAAAGCTTTGTTCCCAAGTCAGGTTCGAGTGCTTCCAACAGGCTCCTTGTGTTACTCCAACGGGTCCCCTCATTTCTCTGGAACGCTGGTCCCATGTATGTGAAAAGACAATCCAGCGTTCTAGATGAACGCTTCCTCATCGTTCATTCTGTCACTTCCCTCTTGCCTCCCGATGTGTCATGAGGGGATGCAGGGAGTGAGGGCAGCTCCAGCTCTGTACGACCTATGGTTAGGGCTCCTCGGTGGCTGTCTTTGGCCAACAAAAAGGCAGCATTCGCTGGACAGGCAGGATGAGGCAGGTGTGCGCTTATTTTGGCCTCTTTTTGTTGGGGATAGCCCCAGAAACCACGGGCTGGAGTCTGTATCCTGATCGAGAAGCATCTGAGGATACAAGTTCAGAAGTGAGAGCGTACCACTTCATGACACCAATTCTGAGTCAAACAGCATGGATGGTGGTCACCACCATCCATTAACTCATTTCCTCTGTGTTGCAGTCAGAAATATTTCCAATCTTCCAAAATGACTGACTGGCCAAAAAAGCACTGAAAATAGATATGTAAAACAATACATGCTGGCCGGCTCACTAGGCTAATTCTCCACCTGCGGCGCCGGCACCCCGGGTTCTAGTCCCGGTCGGGGCACCGGATTCTGTCCTGGTTGCCCCTCTTCTAGGCCAGCTCTCTGCTGTGGCCCGGGAAGGCAGTGGAGGATGGCCCAGGTCCTTGGGCCCTGCACCCCATGGGAGACCAGGAGAAGCACCTGGCTCCTGGCTTCGGATCAGCGCAGCACAACAGCCGTAGCGGCCACTTTGGGGGTGAACCAACTGAAGGAGGACCTTTCTCTCTGTCTCTCTCTCTTTCACTATCTAATTCTGCCTGTCAAAAAAATAAATAAATAAAAACAATTAAAAAAAATCAAAAAAATAAGAGTAAAACAATACATGCCTAACAGAAGAAAAATCCCCGTGTTTTCAAGCTCAGCCTCTATGGGCCCAGAGCTTGGTGGATGGTACGCTTATATTCTCTTTGGAAAACTCTTAGAAACATTCTCAATGATTTGAATTTGACTGAAAATGTTTTTCTCTTTCTGGGAAATGGATAAATAAAGCAATTCCACGCAGCTTTTAAATTTGAGTTTAAGGAACATAGTGGGTTGGATTCTGTGCCAGATTCAAGGGAACCCACGGGACTCTGAGTTCCTTGGGAGAAAACACTCTGTCATCTAGGTCAGAGAGTCACTGTGAAGAAAATCTGTGCTGAAGGGTTAACAGGGGACCAAGCATACTGGGAGAGTCACTATGCTCCCCACAGGCCGGCGCTGTGGCGTAGCCGGTGAAGCCCCCACCTGCAGTACCAGCATCCCATACGGGCGCTGGTTCAAGTCTCGGCTGCTCCAATTTCAATCCAGCTCTCTGCTATGGCTTGGGAAAGCAGTGGAAGATGGCCTGAGTGCTTGGTTCCCTGTACCTGTGAGGGATACCAGGAAGAAACTCTTGGCTCCTGGTTTCAGATTGGCCCAGCTCCATTGTAGCCATCTGGGGAGTGAACCAGTGGATGGAAGACCTCTCTCTCTCTCTGCCTCTGCCTCTCTGTAACTCTGCCTTTCAAATAAATAAATCTTTTAAAAAAATGCTTCTTACACATGGGCCAGTGTTGTGGTGTAGCAGGTAAAGCCGCCATCTGTGGTGCTGGCCTCCCATACGGGCGCTGGTTCAAGTCCTGGCTGCTCCACTTTGAACCCCCCTCCCTGTTAATGCACTTGGGAAAGCAGTGGGAGATGGCCCAAGCACTTGGGCCCCTGCACCCATGTGGGAAACCTGGAACAAGCTCCAGGTTCTTGGCTTCAGACCAGCCCAGCTCCAGCCATTGTGGCCATTTGGGGAGTGAACCAGTGGATGAAAGATTCTCTCTCTCTCTCTTTCTCTGTAACTCTGCCTTTCGAATCAATAAAAATAAAATAAAATAAAATAAAAATATTCTTCCAACACAGGTAGTTTCAGGAAACTTGTAAGGAAGGTTCCAGTCAAATGTGATCATTTGGATAAAACTGGATATTTGTGCTACCCAGTAGGACAACACCTGTGCACGGGCGAGTCTGTGTGGGACTTCAAGTGACATGCTCTCGTGTCAGTGAGTCGCTCAAAAGGTCAAGTGTAAAAGGACTGAAATAGGAGTGTTTACGGTGTACTGTTTGCATCATTTGGTTCCAGGATAGTGACAAGAGCAGGGTACAAGCTACGGTTTTTCAGATTTGGTCTAGGGTGTTTCTGTTAGTTTCAGAAGTCCTAGATTTTTTGCTGGGTCCATCGTCTGCCACACAGATAACCTCTAAACTCCTTGTTACTACAGGTTTGGTCCACGGACAACATAGCTTTAGGCAGAGAAGTCACAATTCACTTAAGCAGCAGATTCCACATTTACCAAGATTCCCTGGCGGTTTGTCTACACACGAAGATTTGGGACGTGTTGGTCTGGATGATGTGAACACAGGTTCAATGTCACACAGGCAGCTCTGCTGGAAACTTATTTTTCTGTAAGAGGCCAGCCTGACTGAAGAACTAAAAAGAGGTTTTCCATAATTGGAGGGAGACAAAGAATGCTAAGTTCAGTTTCAAGGTCTGTGAGCATTTACAGCCATCGCCTCAGAGTGAGTTGCAGTGCAGAAAGTCAGGGGTTTTGTTTGTTTTGAAGGCATTAGAGTGACTTCTGGGAGTGTTTTCTCTCTCTCTCTCTCTCTCTCTCTCTCTCTCTTTATAGATTCACCTATTTATTTGAAAGGCAGAGCTACAGGGAAGCAGAGAGGCAGAGGCAGAGAGAGGTCTTCCATCCCACTGGTTCACTCCCCAGTTGGCCACAACTGTCAGAGCTGCGCCGATCCGAAGCCAGGAGCCAGAGCTTCCTCCAGGTCTCCCACGCAGGTGCACGGGCCCAAGGACTTGGACCAACCTTCACTACTCCCCCAGGCCATAGCAGGGAGCTGGATCAGAAGTGGAGCAGCAGGACTTGAACTGGCACCCATATGGCACCGGCGCTGCAGGTGGTGTCTTTACCCGCTATGCCACAGCGTCGGACCCGACAATGTTTTCTCTGAGATGGGTCACAGGAGTCTGTGTTTCCGTGTGGGTGACCTCGCCTGTCGATGCTGCACAGGTCCTTCAGAGGGAAGGTTTTAGTTTGGTTTTGTGCGTGTGTGTACGTGGTATGCTTAACAGAAAGGGAAAAGATAGGAAGAGGTTGTTTAAAATGGCAGAATCACGTAAATCTGACTTCAAGTTGACTACAGCAAGCCACCGCACAACTAGTTAGAAAGGAGGAAAGCCAGCCTCTGGACCTACAGTGCATGTGCACAAAGTTAAAACAGGAATACAGATTTCTTTTTTTAAAGCATGTGTTGAGGACTTTATCTGGCCTTAGAGAAGAAAAGAGACCCAAAGTTTTGGGACCCTAGACTGTGTCGCACGCAGGGCAGGCTGGGAAAGGGGGCAGGCCTGAAACCATTCCCTGGAGTATCTGATTGAGCTGGCTGACCCCCAGCTCACAGGCACCATCCATGGGCATGGAAAACAAATCGCACCTGGAATTACATTTTCACTACAGAATCCAGAGAGGGCTCTCCACAGCCTCTCCTCTCCCACACGTCTGGTCACTGCGGGCTGACTGAAGCCCCCTCTCCTTCCTGAGCTCCAGAGAGTCACCATGAAACACTAGCTTTATAGAAAAATCCTCACGGGCCACAGTTCTGTATGAGTCTAGCTCCGGGGTGACGGTCATTCTTTTTGCAAATAAACGCACAAGCAGTATTCCTCTACCACCAGACGAGCAGAGTTTACCAGCTCGTTCAAGTGTTTCTGTAGCTGCCTCAATAGATCTAAATTCAGCTTCCCAATCCTTAGCTTTTACACTTTTCCCCTGCTTGAGATAACCAGTGCTCACATTCTACACTTAAACTCCCAACCCCACACAAGGTCTGCTAGAAACAGAGGGAATAGATCATTGGTAACATAAACTAAGTATTCTCATTGTATATGAATTTTATGAAAAACACCGAAGACAATAACCTACCCACTATTTAACCTGGTCATCGACTTCCTGAAATTTTTCCATTTAAAAAGTTGAGTTTGTTCAGTAGATGCCTGACCAGACAAACAGATGTGGCAGCAGTCTGTCTGGGCTGGTGTGCAGGAGCTACCAACTACTTCTGCAGTTAGATGCAGTCATTCAGCTCCTCCCACCTCTCATGGAATCAGTTGCACCGTGTCCGACTGCTTTGAACTTAGCAGATATTGCCCTGAGTGTCAGGACGGTTTGGGGCTACCATCGGCATGATGGCACAGAGGGGTCAGCCCTTCTGAGGCAGCATTTGGAGTCCATCCGGGTGCCGTGACACTCAGTAGGCAGCAGCCGCATTTACTCACCTCTGGTCAAACACCCTGGCACCTGCTCCTGTGTGTGCCTCAGAAATGCAATGCTGAACATTTTGCCAACCTTTTCTTTGGAAAAGCAAACACCGTCTTCACCAAACTTTACACTGAGATGTGTGGGGGGTGTTTTTCCTTTGGCAATTTCAAGCATTAATCAAAGCCAGTCGGATAGAGTTCATGACCAAAAGGAAAGGAGGGCGTCCCAAGGGCAAACAGTTTGCACCGAGAAGGGTAGGAAGCAGGAGAGATTGCTTTCTTTGCACAGAGTTTTTCAAGCCTTTTGGACTGTGACCCACAACAAGAAAGACGATGTGTAAGACAATGTGAAATGAACACTTGCTATCTACAAGGCTCTCCCATCCTTTCTCTTCTATCTCATTTTTAAAAATGCTGGCCAATACAGTTAAATACATTTGAGACATTGTAAGTCGATTTTACCGCTCAGTGGGTCCTGATTCCTGGCTTGGAAAACTCTGGCTTAGAGGTTATCACTCTGCGACCATCAGACCTGGGTTCTGGAACACTGCCCTGTGTGCTTCATGATCAGATCAGTTCTCGGGAAAATTTACCTCTTCCTTTCTGAAGGCAGGCTTGTCCTCTGGGGACTTTTCTTTTTGAGCTTGTCCCTTTGCTCTCTTCTCTTCTTCCTTTTGCATTTTCAAGAATGACAAGGTCACTCGTGTACAAGAGCCTTTCTAGCTAACACGAGTGAGAGGGTGCTCAGATCACAAGGCACGTGCTGCAGGGTGGCATCTGTTTGGGCCATCTCTGTGCGATACTTACATCCCTCGGTGCCACTGGGTCTACACAGCAGTGTGGGCTACTCGCGTCCCACCACCGCTACTTCTCATGTGCCTGCCTTTGCGCTCATCAAACTCTAGCGTGAATTGGTGCTCCCTGGCCGTGTGTACAAACCTCGCGAGTGGTTGGGTGCACTTTGTCCACAACCTGCTCAGTTATAGCTGTGTGCTTGAGGCCCTTGTATGGCAGCAAGAGTGAAAGACAACTTCAGAGCAATGCAGGAGAGGTGAATATGCAAGCGCTGATTTGTCCTGTTTTGGGGGGGAGGCAGTTGGTGGTGGTGGTGGTTAGGTATAGCACTTTTAATGCAGCTTTGCAGACAAAAAACATCCTTTGTAGCTTACAAAGACCCTCCCCCTCCCATTATTTCCATCCTTCCTTGAGACAGATGAAACAAGCAGCAAACATATAGGCTCTTAATCACCAGTCAGTTATAAATTGATACTACCCCAGGTGGATGGCTTTCTGCAAGTCTGCATTAAGCTCGGGTCTAAATGATGGCAAGTCAGGATTTGGACATTTTTGTTTGGAAAAGGCTCCAACTGGCGCCTTTCCCTCCTTTATTTCCAGTTGCTTTCAAGGGGTCAGTTTTTGCCTTCTAGAAATGAAATGGGTGGCCATGATCTTTTCCATTAAATTTCCACCCTGGCTTTATGGGCCTGTTGCCTCAAGTAGACCTACAGACAGAGGATAGATGTTAAAAAGAACAAGCGGAGATGCAGGTGCAGAATCGGAAGTCAACACGGCACCCCCACATTTATCATTGGGTGCTTTCATTTTTTTGGGGTATTCATAACAACCAAGCACAGAGCAATTCATTTCTCTCTGGTTGTTCCAATACATTTGGTTGACGGAATATTTAGAAATCAACTGATCGCTTTGTGCTTGCATATTGCTATGGCCTGAAAAAAATGAACAGCTTGCCAAGGGTTCAAGCACGTGGGGCTGGAGGCATGTGGCTTTCATTCCAAATCTGATGTGCATTACATTTCTCAAGTCACAGGCATCACACACGTGGTGCAAAACGCTTACTGTACCTGCTTCTTTAGGGCAGCTGTCTGAAGTTTATCTTCTTGCACCTTCTTTTCATTTACCGACTTCCCTTCTGTTTTGTCTTCTACCTTCCCCCCCTTTAACTTTTTCTCTTGCAGGTCAGTTTTTTTCTCTTCCAGCTGCTTTTTAAGTTTTTGCTCTTCTAGCCTAGCTTTCTCCTCCTCCTTTGCCTTGGCCCGTTGCCGCTCCTCTGCCGCTCTCCTTTCTTCCTCTTTAATCCTCTCCCTCTCCTCCTTCTCCCTCCTCTCCCTCTCCTCCTTCTCCCTCCTCTCCCTCTCCTCCTTCTCCCTCCTCTCCCTCTCCTCTGCCTCCCTCCTCTCCTTCTCCTCTGCCTCCCTCCTCTCCCTCTCCTCCTTCTCCCTCCTCTCCCTCTCCTCTGCCTCCCTCCTCTCCCTCTCCTCCTTCTCCCTCTCCTCCGCCTCCCTCCTCTCCCTCTCTTGTGCAGCTTTTTCTTCTGCTTCAATCCTTGCTTGTTCTTCTGCCCTCTTTTTTTCTTGCTCAGCTTTAAGTCTTTCTTCTTCCTCCAACCTCCCCCTCTCTGCCTCAGCTCTCTCCCTCGCCTCCTGTTCCATCTTTTCATCACGAGCAACACCATCCGCACCCTGCTCTGGTTTCGCCTCTTCCACACCGACTTCCCCATTTTTCAATGACATTACCACCGGCTCCGCCTGGGGTTCTGCTGTTTTCTCTTCTCCCATCGCCTCTACCTGATTTTCTCCAACGCTCTCTTGCTTGGACTTCTCCTCTTCCCCATCTTCCCTTTCTTTCTCGTCTTTCTTTTTGTCCTCAGCATCCCTCCAGTCATTCTTCTGCTCGGATTTGGTGACCGTCTTGGTTTCCTCTGTCTCATATCTTTCCCGGCGACTTTCAGCTTTCGCCTCCTTCTCGGCCGTTTCATTTTCTGCTGTGTCATTTGGCATCCTTCTGCTGGGGAGGGATGCGCTTGCGTCTGTTACAGTCGGGTCGAACTCCTTCTGCCTCTCCAGGGCTTCCTGCAGTCGTTTCTGGCGTCTCTCCTCTCGTCGAGCCAGACGCTCCAGCAGTGCGGCCTCATCGTCGCCTTCCACCTGAGTGCTTGTGGTGCTTGGCTTGGAGTCCTCGTTGGACACACTGCACGACAAAAGGAGAAACACCAAAGACAGCTTGCCAGTTAGTCGGTCAGCTGCGTTCAGACAGCCTGTGCCAGCCAGGGCCAGAGCAGACGTCAGTGGTACCATGGCCACATCCCCTGAGATGTTGGTTAGCATTTGGCTACATGGCTTTCAACTGACAGCAAATACAAGTCTCTGGCCTTGGTCTTTCTCTGGTCACAGGAATCTATTCAACAGGCTAGAAGCATTCTGGGAGCTGCCCCGGGAGCTGCTGTCAAGTGGAAAGTGATGAACGTTAGTGTATAATGTACCACTCACCTTATGACGTGGCTAAAACGCTGAGGTGTGAGTACACAGTGGATCTTGGGGTTCCCCAGCAGTGTCAAGCGCCTCACACCCATGGTCGAGACTCACTTGGCAGCACAGCCCTTATTGGTAGCCTTGCCTTTACTGTCTCATTTCCTTACACACCTGTCAGTGTCACCTGGGGTCGCCTTGGAAATAAACTGTTTGAGCGGGTGTGGCTCCAAGATGTCGGAATAGGGAGGGAGCTCACTGATAGTCCAGGAAAAGACAGTTTAATTAAAGTGAAGTCTCAGGGAAGAGTTAGGGGAAAAACTGCAGAGGGAACTCTTCCGGAATTAGAGCGACATGATGGACCTACGTGGAGAACATGGGCGCCCACGGCTCGGGCGTGATAAAAAAAAAAAAAAACTGAGGGTGTGTGGGAGAACTCACGGTGTGGCTGAGACGTGAGTAGTCTCAGTGTGAGACGCCACAAACTCAGTAACCCGGAGAGAGACACTGCAGGGGAACCTGAGCTTACACTGAGGACTGTACAGATCCTTTGTGTGGTCCTTGGGACAGAGCAGACGGATATTATACCCACTGGGGCTAGCGCTCAGGCACTGATTGCCATCAAGGAGAAGAGCTCAGCTGAGCAGAATTACTCCTTCTGAATAAAAAAAAAAAAGAGGGAGAGAAGATTTACCATGCCAAACCTGGGTGTGTCACCTTTGGCACACCCTTAACCCTGAAGAACTGAATAGAGCTCTCTGGCCACACCTATCACAAGCCTCTAGAGACTCACCAAAAGCAGACAGTCCACTTAATTAGAGTCATAGTATAATGAGAAAAGCCACCACAGCGAGGAAAAAAAAAAAAGAAGAAGAAGAAACCAAAGAATATCTCCACAATGCCAAACAACAAACACAGAAACCGAGGAAACAAGAACAAGGAAGACATCATGATGCTCCCAAATGAACACAGCACTATAATACAAGATTATGAAGATGATGAGATAGAAGAAATGCAAGATAGGGATTTCAAAAAATTTATGATAAGAACATTTAGAAGTTATCAAAAACAAATGCATGAACTACAGAAATCCATACAGGATAGGACAGAAAATCTCTCTTGTGAAAATGAAATCTTAAGGAGGAATTAAAATGAAATGAAGAATTTAACAGAACATGAAACTGAGATATTGAAGAGAAATCAAAATGAAATGAAGAGTTCAATAGAACAAATGAAAAACATATTTGAGAGACTTAAAAACAGAATCAGTGAAGCAGAAGAGAATATCGGACTTAGAAGACAGAGCACAGGAAAGTATACAGTCAAACCAAAGAAAAGAAGAGGAAAGTAGAAATTTAAAAATTATTGTTGGGACTCTACAGGATACCATTAAAAAAAACAATATTCGGGTTCTAGGAGTTCCTGAAGGCATGGAGAGACAGAAAGGATTAGAAGGCCTTTTTAGTGAGATACTAGCAAAAAATTTTCAGGGTTTGGAGAAGGACAGAGACATCCTAATACAGGAAGCTCATAGAACCCCTAATAAACATGACCAAAAGAGATCCTCACCACGACACGTTGTAATCAAACTCACTACAGTAAAACATAAAGAAAAGATTCTAAAATGTGCAAGAGAGAAACATCAGATTACTCGCAGAGGATCTCCAATCAGACTCACAGCAGACTTCTTATCAGAAACCCTACAGGCTAGGAGGGAATGGTGAGATACAGCCCAGGTACTAAGGAGAAAAACTGCCAGCCCACAATACTATATCCTGCAAAGCTCTCATTTGTAAATGAAGGTGAAATAAAGACCTTTCATAGCAAACAGAAATTGAAAGAATTTGTCACCACTCATCCAGCCCTGCAAAAGATGCTTAAAGATGTGTTATACACAGAAACACAGCAATCAGTAAGAAAGAAGGTAAAGGAAGAAAATCTCTCAGTAGAAGATCACAGGAAGCTCAAAGCAGATATTAGAAAATATCTTTGGGAAAATGGCAGGGCAAAGTCACTACTTATCAATAGTCACATTGAATGTAAATGGCCTCAACTCTCCAGTTAAAAGACACAGATTGGCTAAATGGATTTAAAAAAATCTATTTGCTGCTTACAAGAAACACATCTTTCCAACAAAGATGCATGCAGACTGAAAGTGAAAGGTTGGAAAAATATATTCCATGCCAACAGAAACCAAAAAAAAGCTAACATAGCCATCTTAATATCAGACAAAATAAACTTTAACACTAATACTGTTAAGAGAGACAAAGAGGAGGCACTATATAATGATTAAGGGATCAATTCAACAGGAAGAGGTAACTATTATAAATGTATATGCACCTAATTACAGGGCATTGGGTTATTTAAAAGATTTGTTAATAACTTAAAGGGAGACTTAGACTCTAATACAATAGTATTGGGGGACTTCAATACTCCACTTTCAGCAATAGACAAATCAACCAGACAGAAGATCAACAAGGAAACAGCAGATTTAATAAACACTATAGTCCAAATGGATCTAACAGATATCTACAGAATTTTTCATCCTACACTTGAAGAATACACATTCTTCTAAGCAGTACACAGAACCTACTCTAGGATTGACCACATACTAGGCCATAAAGCAAGTCTCAGCAAATTCAAAAGACTTGGAATCATACGATGCATCTTCTCAGACCACAGTGGAATAAAGCTGGAAATTAGCAACTCAGGAATCCCTAGAGCATACGCAAACACATGGAGATTGAACAACATGCTCCTGAATGAATACTGGGTCATAGAAGAAATCAAAGGAGAAATCAAAAACTTCTGGAAGTAAATGAGGATAACAACACAACATACCAAAACTTATGGGATACAGCAAAAGCAGTGTTAAGAGGAAAGTTTATATCAATAGGTGCCTACATCAAGACATTGGAAAGGCACCAAATAAATGACTTTCGATGCATCTCAAGGATCTAGAAAAACTGAAGCAAACCAGACCCAAATCAAGTAGGAGAAGAGAAATAATTAAAATCAGAGAAGAAATCAACAGAATTGAATAAAAAATTACAAAAGACAGCCAAAGAGCTGTTTTTTTGAAAAAATAAACAAAATTGACACACCATTGGCCCAACTAACTAAAAAAAGAAGAGGAAAGACCCAAATCAATAAAATCAGAGATGAAAAATGGAATGTAAGGACAGACACCACAGAAATAAAAAGAATCATCAGGAATTACTACAAGGACTTGTATGCCAGCAAACAGGGAAATCTATCAGAAATGGATAGATTCCTGGACACATACAACCTACCTAAATTGAACCATGAATACATATAAACCCTAAACAGACCCATAACAGACAGAAAGTGAATCAGTAATAAAGGCCCTCCCAACAAAGAAAAGCCCAGGACCAGATGGATTCACTGATGAATTCTACCAGACATTTAAAAAAAAACTAACTCCAATTCTTCTCAAACTATTCAGAATAATAAAAAAAGAGGGAATCCTCCCAAATTCTTTCTATGAAGCCAGCATCACCTTAATTCCTAAACCTGAAAAAGATGCAGGGTTGAAAGAGAATTACAGACCAATTTCCCTGATGAACATAGATGCAAAAATCCTCAATAAAATTCTCGCCAATAGAATGCAACAACACATCAGAAAGATCATCCACCCAGACCAAGTGGGATTTATCCCTGGTATACAGGGATGGTTCAACGTTCACAAATCAATCAACGTGATACACCACATTAACAAACTGCAGAAGAAAAACCATATGATTATCTCAATTGAAGCAGAGAAAGCATTTGATAAAATACAACACCCTTTCATGATGAAAACTCTAATCAAATTGGGTATAGAAGGAACATTCCTCAATATAATCAAAGCAATTTATGAAAAACCTATGGCCAGCATCCTATTGAATGGGGAAAAGTTGGAAGCATTTCCACTGAGATCTGGCACCAGACAGGGATGCCCACTCTCACCACTGCTATTCAAAATAGTTCTGGAAGTTTTAGCCAGAGCCATTAGGCAAGAAAAAGAAATTAAAAGGATACAAATTGTGAAGGAAGAAGTCAAACTATCCCTCTTTGCAGATGATATGATTCTTTATTTAGAGGATCCAAAGAACTCCACTAAGAAACTATTGGAACTCATAGAAGAGTTTGGCAAAGTAGCAGGATATAAAATCAATGCACAAAAATCAACAGCCTTTGTATACACAGGCAATGTCATGGCTGAGAAAGAACTTCTAAGATCAATCCCATTCACAATAGCTACAAAAACAATCAAATACCTTGGAATAAACTTAACCAAGGACGTTAAAGATCTCTACGATGAGAATTACAAAATCTTAAAGAAAGAAATAGAAGAGGATACCAAAAAATGGAAAAATCTTCTATGCTCATGGATTGGAAGAATCAATATCATCAAAATGTCCATTCTCCCAAAAGCAATTTATAGATTCAATGCGATACCAATCAAAATACCAAAGACATTCTTCTCAGATCTGGAAAAAATGATGCTGAAATTCATATGGAGACACAGGAGACCTCGAATAGCTAAAGCAATCTTGTACAACAAAAACAAAGCTGGAAGCATCACAATACCAGATTTCAGGACATACCAGAGAGCAGTTGTAATCAAAACAGCATGGTACTGGTACAGAAACAGATGGATAGACCAATGGAACAGAATTGAAACACCAGAAATCAACACAAACATCTACAGCCAACTTACATTTGATCAAGGATCTAAAACCAATCCCTGGAGTAAGGACAGTCTCAAACAAATGGTGCTGGGAAAACTGGATTTCCACATGCAGAAGCATGAAGCAAGACCCCCTACCCTACATCTTACACAAAAATCCACTCAACATGGATTAAAGACTTAAATCTATGACCTGACACCATCAAATTATTAGAGAACATTGGATAAACCCTGCAAGATATAGGTATTGGCAAAGACTTCTTGGAAAAGACCCCGGAGGCACAGGCAGTCAAAGCCAAAATTAACAACTGGGATTACATCAAATTGAGAAGTTTCTGTACTGAAAAAAAAAAAAACAGTCAAGAGAATGAAGAGGCAACCAACAGAATGGGAAAAAATATTTGCAAGCTATGCAGCTGATAAAGGATTAATAACCAGAATCTACAAAGATATCAAGAAACTCCACAACTACAAAACAAGCAACACACTTAAGAGATGGGCCAAGGACTGAAACAGACATTTTTCAAAAGAGGAAATCCAAATGGCCAACAGACACATGAAAAAATGTTCAGGATCACTAGCAATCAGGGAAATGCAAATCAAAACCACAATGAGCAAATTTGTATTTAGTAAATAAAAGTTAAAAAAATAAAAATAAATAAATAAACTGCTTGAGCACAAATCTTTTTTTCAGAATCTGCTTCTTAGGGAACTCGAATCAAGACAAGGCCCAAACTGAAATAAGAAGTGAATTCTTCCAGTGTCAGGTAGCATTCACATGTACCACTGCGCCATTTAGAAGTCCTGACCTAGTGGGCGGAGCACAGGTACATGGAGAGGAAGACGGGGTGTGCGTTACCACGTGGAGATTCTATACGCATGTGGTAGAGACACCTGCCTGGCCTCTGAAATTCATGCTCCTCCTCCCACAGTCATGGGGGAGAACTGATTACCAGGGGTTACTTTTCCTACCCTCTCTTCTTCCTTGTGCCTTTGAGGGACCGTGTGACCATAACTGCCAATGCAATGTGACCAGAAGTGATGCGTTCAGATCAAGGCAATATAAAGAAACAGTGGAGCAATCTCATGTCCTCTCGGTGTTGGCCAGGTGAAAGGCCTAGTGTTGACAGAGTCCCAGGAGGAAAGCAGACAGGTGACTGATTCCACCTCCTAGACAGAAATACTCACACTGGACTAGTACGAGTTACCGCATTAAGCTAAATTAGGGGAGTTCATTGTTATAGCAGGCAGCATTAAGCTACCTGATATATAACACCTAACTTCTTTGTCTAGATTTCTAGGAATAAAAGGTTTCTTGTCCTTTTCCAGAGTGGAAAAGGGACAATTAAAAAGAAAATAACAATCTCAAAAAAACAACTGCACCACGTCTGTCACCTTCCTCATTGCTGCAGGATGTTGGACACAGCCTACGCCAAGGGTGTTGGTCTCCACCCGCAGGAAACAAGCGGTCCTATGATAGCAGAACTGTGACCAGAGTTGGAAGAATATATCTTGCAATGTTTAGACACTCCATCAGATTTCATGATTCATACCACACTTGGCTCTTTTGAAGTTCAAGTTCACTTAATTTTGGAAAAGCACATTTCATATTTAACAACAAAAAATGGCCGAGTGAAGCCTAGATTTTAAACTTTGTTGGCTTTAGCTGTTGCTGTAGGATATTATCTCCATGAGTGAGACATAAAAGGATTAAATGTCTGAAAACACAAAGAAAAATTCATACATAAAGCATTTGGGTCAAATGAATTCTAATAATTCTTAAAAAAAAAGTACCCAAAATGCCAAAGTGTGAACCAGATTAAAACACTCTCAAGTTAGAGGACCAACAGATCCTGTTGAACATTTCTTTGCCTATTTACAGTTATGACAACAATCATTAGTAGACGTTAAGTGCCAGTTGGAGTTGTACAGTCCCAACAAAAATCATTCTCTTTGTGGATAACTAATCTTTCAGAGATAAATCACAAATTCTCAGACTTGAGTATACTTTTCTAAGAAAAAAAAAAGAGAAGAGTTTTAAATTCATCAACACCATGAAAAAACTAGTAATAATAAAATGTGAACACAGAAGAGAAATACAAATAGAAGCAACATCTTAAAAGCAGAAAATTATAGACCTCTAATAATTTTTTAAGCCACTATTGACTACTCACTAATAACTAGATACAGAGAAGACTTCAAAATGCCTTTTTTTTGGGGGGGGCAATCTTTCTGTCCCTTCTCCCTAAAGTTAAAACCAGAGAAGTTGTCAATGACTATGCTGCCCTCCTTCTGAAGGCCTGTGACAATCATGATGATTAGATTCAGTGCTTACTGTGTGCAAGGTGCTGTGCATTTTACATGCATTATTGTCTCATTTACGCTTAACCACACTCTTAGGAGAAAGGCAGAAGTTTTATTTCCATTTAAGTGAAGAAACACAGTGAAAGGCCAAGCTGGGCTTCAAAGCCAGCTGGTGAACACAGAGATCCTAGTTTCAGACCCGTGGCACCACGCTTGTCAAGGGACACGAGCTCTATTTCTCCAACAAACCAATAAGCATCCTTACAGGAGCTCCCATAGGTCCCTCCCAACCTGCACAAAATACAACAAGCTACAAATAAAACCACACGCAAGACCTTACAGAGGTGCTTCATTATATTTCATCAGTCCATAGTTTTAAACTAAAAATATTTTTTCTCTACTGCCCCACCTGAAATATCCTCATTTTTTCTGGACTCTGGTGGCATACCTATGATATATGCTAACCACTAATGTAATGGACTGTGTGACTCTATTTTGTTGTAAAGCCCTTTCTGAGGGAATTGAATGTATTGGGTACTCTTGACTTCCCTAATTCCTACCAGAAAAATTGTAGTAGTAAACTCATTAAATGTGTTTGAATAATCACATTACATTAAGCAAGATTCTGCATCTTACTGAATATTACAGTATTTGGAGAATATTGACTCAGTCTGTATGTTAGGGAAAAAAACATTTGCAATTCATAAGTACTTTTAAAATACAAGTGTTATCTGTTACCAGTGGGCATGGAAGACTCTACTAAACTAATAAGTCTTCAATTCAATGCAGACAGCAATAAGTAGACATAGTTTTTCTTTTTTAAAGATGAAACCTACCATATTTAGTAAATTAAAAAAATACTAGGCCATAAAATAAAAAGCTCCAGTTGGGATATATTCAGGGGACAGGGCTGGGGTGTGGAAGAGACAAGAATAGTAGTATCCTAATGCCTAAATCAAATTAACTTGTTCAGCCTGATGAGTAGCCTAAAATGACCACAAAAGTATTCAAGAAGTAGGTCGACCGGAAAAGGGTTGAGTTGGGTTGTAAGGGGGAACGCTCGGCCTGACAAGTGCCATTCAACACACAAGCTAAGGCCAAACTTAGGAAGTGTCCATTCTGGAGAGCACAGCGCCTACCTGTTCTGGGCATGAACCTCCACCTGGTCGGCCACCTGCCCCAGAGACTCTTCCTCCTGCTTCTGTCGCAGCCTCTCCTGGCGGGCTCTGCGGCGCCGTTCCCGGGCTGCCTCCTCCTCGTCATCATCGTTCCTCTGGTAGGCGATTCTACAAGCGGCAAAGACAACCTGAGCACTCGCGAGTCCACTGCCCACCCTCTTCACCAGCTTCCCGGCAGGAACCACCCTGAGCCCTTGTCTGAACCTGACTACGTAGTTAACCACAGCCTCCTGAAGGGATGGGCCAATTCTTTCAGTGTAGACTTTATTGGCCAGTTTTGTTCTTAAAACGTTTTTGAAAATTATTTTTTATTTGGGGGGAGGAGAGAGAGAGAGGTGAGGAGACTGCACGCCCATCTGGTGGCTTCCTCCCTGGAGCCAGGAATCAGGAATGCAACTCGGGTTTCCCACCTGGGTAGCGGGAACCCAAGTACTTGAGCCATCACCATTGCCTTTAGTGCCTGCATTGGCAGGAGGCTGGAGCCAGGAGCTGGGAGGATGCAACCCAGGTATTCCGATAAGGGTGCCTTTTTTAACTGCTACGTTAAATGCCCCAAGTTTCAAATTACTAAATATTTGAAGAGCATTAATACAATAGTTAGAGAGGATCATTTACAATGAGTAAATAGCCTCTTAAACTAAAAGATCACACAAAAAAAGTAGGCTACCTTCAGAGATGGTTGGCTAGATTTGGATTTCCTTATTAAATTGAGTTTTAGCATGTAAGATTTAGAAAGAAAACTCTTGAGTATTGAACCAAAAATAATCAAAGCACTCATTAAAAAGAATTCAGCAAGTTGTGTGAATTATTTGTGTAGGACTGTCACAAAAGATTAGAAAAGAATCAAGTTTCCCACGATCCGTGTTAATAAGCCAAGATTGCTAATTAAAATCAGGAGCTTGGATTGTCCTCTTTCCTTGAGAGAGGAGGTGCTATTGCCCACTGGCAGGAGGCGTCACTCTCAGTGCATTTGGAAGGGGTGGAGTTCCCTATAAGGTTCCTTCTTGTGATCTAGAAAATGCTTTGGTGCCCTTGCACACACACGCTGGGCACGGCGCCACAGGTCTATATTTACGTAGCCTGAGGGCTGAGGCAGGTGGAAGAGACACAGAGAGCCTCACATGTTTCCATGTTATTTAGGTTTTATAGTTTCAATGAAAGCAAATGCCTATTTGGAGAAATTACACAATCAGTGTTTCCACACTGTATTTTTTCCCCTGATACTTGATCCCAAATAAATAAGTTGGAACTTGGGAACTACAAATGCTCAAACTCAATAAGGAATGACCTGCAGAGTTAACTTGGCCACCTTTGAAGGGTTCATCTGTACTGAGAGATAGAAGACAAACAATGCGTAGGCTCTCTGACCCAGGGGAAGGCTGACTTGATGATTCCATGGGTTGGGGATAGGTTTGGGGATAGTGGTGGGGCTGCATTTGCAGTGGGCTGCTTCTTACACTGGAAGGTTAAAGAGTTTTTGTTACAATGTTACTGGCACAGAAATCCAGATATGTAAACAGTTCATGTGATTAATTCTTTTTTTTTCATTGTGGTAAGAACACTTAACATGAAATCTACCTTCCTAACACATTTTTAAAGTGTACAATATAGAATTGCCAACTGTAGGCATAATACAGTAGAAAAGATCTTTGAAACATGCTCATAATTCTTATATAACCACCATGCCAAAATAATTTACAAATGAAACAAACAGTAAAAATAGACAATTTACACGATACGAATCTTACACAACTTATCATGGTTTGCTCATGTGAGATTTACAAACTATGTATTGTTAGTTTAGTACTTTATTCATCTGTGTCTTCTTTTGTCTCCAATAACAATACTGCTAAGAATGTTTTCTCTCCTAGGCATCTAAAAAAAACAAGATAAACACTTTTGAAAATTCTTTACTAATTCAGATAATCTGACTGCATACACTCTAAATACTGCTAGGGCATAATACTGATATGCCGATCTAAATAAAGTGTCAGTCATTCTATAAAACAGAACGGCTTATTTTTACAAATATGGCGAGGAGGGCGGTGTGATGTAGTTAATGGTGACTAGATTAGGACTTAGAAACTGGTCTCTTGCTAACTTGGAGCTATTTGATTAGGCTGAGTTCAACGACCTTGTCCATAACTGTGTGACAATCAAATGAGATAATGGATATGTCATGGCAAAGCATTCTACAGTGCGATATTTTGCTGTTTCCAGGAAAGTTCAGTTGGGGAGCTGCTTAGTGTGGAAAGAGGAGTTCAGTGTTAGATTTCTTGAGGAGTTGAGGTGACAACATGACATGATTCAAATGTTCCTTTCTAATTCAATCACATTGTAGTTTGTACTTGAAAACTCTTCCCAGCCAGTGGTTTGGCTTCAGCCTTCAGATTCTTGGCCTAATAGTCCTTTGGCTTATTTCTCAGTAGACAGCTTTAACCACAGCAGGGAGAACGAGTCTTTAATGACTACTCTCCGGGTTAATCAAACAGTGTCTTCATCTGCTCTTCTACAGCTCTGGATCAGCCAAGCGATCATGCCTATTATTGGTGACCTTGGTCCCCCAAAAGGAGGCAAGCGGCACAAACATTCCTTAGGGGGCATCCATATACTCAAAGCAAAACTCCTCATTACCTGAATGGAATCTACTGGTAAGCCCTTAACATCCCATTATACTTGAAAAATTTGAATAAAGATAATTGAAAATGAATCTTGATGAAGAATGGGATGGGAAAGGGAGCGGGAGATGGGATGGGGAGAAAAAGCCACTATAATCCAAAAGTTGTACTTTGGAAATTTATATTTATTAAATAAAAGTTAAAAAAAAGAAAAATCTGAGATGTCACCACCTTTCTCCTTCCAGCTACCTAGTGGGTGTCACGGTTGAATGCTGCTGGCTTTCACTTTGACAGCTACTGGATTACCAGCTCACTCTTAATCCTTCTTCCTCTTAGATTTCTTACGGGAGGGGTGACCTGAAAAACTGGATTGTCTCCAGTGTCTCTTCTAACTCTTCTTGCTCGGTACAGCTTAAAATTTAGAGATAGACACTCTTCATTCCTTTCCTAGGAAACACAGTTACCGGGGCTAGATTTGTAAAGGCCTTTTATTAATACTAAGAAAGAAACATATTAAAATTGTTTATAAAGAATAAAAAAATGAGGCAAAATGCTTTCATGATATTTTCAACCATAATCACATGCTTAGTAGAAATTCGGCAGGTGCAGGTATTAGCAATCCACCCACAGTCTATAGTACACACACAGTGAGCATTCCTGGATGGTTCAAAAGTAGTGTGGGATCCCAATAACCCGTCTGTTGACTTCACACTTGAGAAGCGAAATTGTGTTCATGACAAACGACTTGATACCTGTGGAAATTTTTCAATTCTGAGATTCCCTATATTAGCCTTCAGCATGAAAAATGAACAGTAGTGTCCTACCATTCCGATCTCTCTCACAGCAATGGACAATTCTTCTAGTCTCAAGGCTTATTTTTTCTTTCCAATTGAAGAATGTCAATTTTTTAAATTCCAAAACTAATGTATTTTATTTTATTTATTTTTTATTTTATTTATTTTTTAAAACCAGATGAAACAAAATGTATGAAGGAGAATGTAGAATTCCGCCCCCTAGGTTTGCACTGCCAGGCATCAGCATGATGAGAATTTGATATATTCTACCACACATTTCCTAAGCATTCATGGATATTTTCATTTTAAATAAGCAGGAATATGTTAGAGATGTCATTTTGTAAACAGTTTCCTTAATTTGCCTTATTTATAACTATTTTTGAAGTATTTTTGTGAAGTAGAGAGACTGAAAAAGGACAGGGTGAGAGGTCCCACCCACTGGTTCATTCACAAATGCCTACGCTGGTTGGGCCTGGGCCCGGGGTGAACTGAAGCCCAAAGACAGGATCACATGTAGGCCTCCCTTGATCATCTGAGCCCTCATCATCTGAGCCTTCAACACTGCTCCTCTGGGGCTGCACGCAGGCAGCTGGATCCAAGGATGGAGTGCGGGTGCTTCGATGCGGGGTACAGGCATCGTTACCAGTGGGGGAAATGCCTCCCTGTGGCTGCTTTTAACACATTAGTAAGATAAATGTAAAACGGCAGCACAATAGTCTATGTATACTTACCTACTACTAATAAAGAGGTACTATAGACTCTGTAGCCAATTTTCTATCGATAGACATTTAAAAATTTTTCAACTTTATTCTTAATGCTGTAGAGGACATGAGCAGAGGTGCATTTTACCATTTTTTAAATTACTTATTCAGAAAAACTAAGAAGTTGGAGCTTCTGCATTTAAGAGAAAGCTCATTTTAAAGGCTTTTGCTCTGTATTGTCAGAGTCCTCCCTGCCCATACAACCAGGGCATGAGAACAGCACGCTCACCTTGAAGTAGAATTTGTCCAGAGAGGTAGACAAGCACACAGATCCTTAACTCATCCAAATGATACCACTACATCTGCCTTATCCCTCAGTTAGAGATAAAGTGCTAACATATCTGATTTTCCACACACCAGATTTAAGCCTATTTGCAATGCTGCTGACTACTGAAAATCATACCTAACCACCCCACGCCTTGTAATGAAAGGATGACAATCTGTCTGATCCTTCTGGGGAAATGCAGCAGAAGCCAGTATAACCAATGCACTATAGTCCACAGCACCAACACAGCGGCTGTTCCTGGAGGATTCCGAAGCACTGTGGAATCCCGAAGCTCCTCTGAATCATCGCAGAAAGCCTGAGCTCTGCCTAAGAGAGTTTTATCAACTGCATTGTATTGTGGTCCATGGAAAGAAAAAAAAAAAAAAACTAGCAATTCGCAAATGATCTACAAAGCAAGTGTCTAATAAAGACAATGATCGACTGACAATCCATGAGCTTCCACCCATGCTGTTTCAAGGTTTACGATGGACCATTCTGCTTTGCTTATCTCTTGGCACACACACCTGGAGAAAGGAGTAACTGACCTTTCTGCAGGAAGCCCAATGTTGCTGACAGCAAAATGACTCCCTGGACATTCAGAAGAGAGAGAGACACATAGTCTAGGGGTCTCTCTCTCTCTCCTCTCTCTCTTCTCTCTCTTCTCTCTCTC